TAGCTCAGTGGTCTAAGGTGTGAGTAGGTCTAAGGTGTAGGTAGTTCAGTGGTTTAAGGTTGAGATAAGTAAGTGGTCTAAGGTGCTGATAGCTCTGTGGTCTAAGGTATGAGTAGGTCATTGATGCAAGGTGAAGGTAATTCAGTGGTTTAAGGTTGAGATAAGTGAGTTGTCTAAGGTGCTGATACTTCTGTTGTCTGAGGTGTGGATAACTGGTGTCGAGGTTCCGAGGGGAGGTTCAGTTGAAGAGAGGGTAAAATCAGTACAGTGCAACTTTGTGCATGGAAGGAGTCGAGATCTGTTTTATGATCTACTGCGGGATGACGTCAGGCTGATTAATAGATCTCTTAAACAGAGTACGTTGTTTGTTTTTTGTTTACTCAGCAATATTCACGCTATATGGGGGTGGTCTGTAAACAATCGCATCATCATGAGCCAATATGTGCATCGATATACGTAACTGGGATACGATGATATGCATGAACCAAGTCTGAGCGCCTACCACGTATTCTTAATCCTTTTAGTCCCATATTACGACAAACAGTCTGCTGAAGGAAAAATCTAACCCAGGGATGGGGGCTAGCGCAGGGGACATCGGTGGATTTTAAGGGATGGTGCAACACTTGGGACATCCTAAGCAATACAGTTTTCATGTACATTATTGCACAGACGCAGTAAAGAGATGAACTTAAAACAAAGATCAAAAGATCGATACGAATATTTGCTAAAAGTTGAAAATACAACGGAAAAAACACTGTTTATTATAAGTGTCAGAAATGGTTAAATGATTTATGTCCTTGGTGCCATCTCCTGTTGGGAGCAAACCAATCACGAGTAATATCACGTGGTCTCCCTTGATTGTTGAAATTCAGGAATAAACAACCGACTGGCGCTCTCTGCATATTGATGACAGTTGGCGCTGTGTTCGCTGCAAACCTTGTGATAATCCGTGCGCGCTAGTTTCAGTGGGTTTATCGACTTGGTGTGAGTGATCTCAGGACATCGTTGTCTCTAATCTTCTGTGGTCTACCTTTACCGTATCGTCTCCATGCATTGGTGTCCACAGTCTTGTGTTCCCTGTCAAACTGTGGATAGTCTCCATACGTTAGTGTCCATTGTCATGTGTTTCTTGTCTAACTGTTGAGTCTCAAGACATTGGTGTTGATAGTCTCGTGGTCACTGTCGATCTGGTGGTTGCCTCCAGACATTGGTGTCCATAGTCTTGTGTTCCCTGTCCATCTGGTGGTAATCTCCATACGTTAGTGTTCATTGTCTTGTGTTTCTTGTCTAACTGTTGAGTCTCAAGACATTGGTGTTAATAGTCTTGTGGTCACTGTCGATCTGGTGGTTGCCTCCAGACATTGGTGTCCATAGTCTTGTGTTGCCTGTCCATCTGGTGGTAGTCTCCAGACATTGGTGTCCAAAGTCCTGTGTTCACCGTCTACCTGACCGTGAGCCTTCAACCCTGTGGTAGCAACCCAATAACATCCTACGTAGGAAGCGAACTGAAAGATGACACCAAGATATCTAAAGGACTTTGTGGAACTTTTTCTGAAATTATCAGTTATTCCCATGTTTGTATTTTCCACATCAAGCATGTCACAGTGTGCACCAAAAAATATCAGGAACCTTGGTATCAAGTTGTGCCAGCTAAAATGTATTAACAATTATCTTTGTTTGAGTTTTGAATACAATATTGAAACTTTAACCTGTCGATTATCAATCAATGACTCCAAGAAGATTGAGAAGCAGGGAGGCCACAGCGGTCTTTCAAGGAATCGTTCAGATGTAAGTAAAAGCGACAAAACCCTTTCCATAATTATACGAAATCTCTGTTAAGAGCAGATCCCAGTGTTATATCATATGTAAAATATGTATTTATGAATATTATAGTGATGATATCAGGATTTCGCAAAAAAAAGTGAGCAGATTTGCCCAGACGTTGGCACCCATCACAAACACATGCAAAGGCAAGTCAATTGTTCACCCTGGAAAACACGGGAACATATGGTACAATCAAGAATAGGGAACTGTCTCTGACATCCTGTTGGTCACCGAGGCATCAAATTTGGAAATGTCCACCGCATGTGTGCCATAAACTGTTTTGACAGCTTTTTAGCATCCCTCTTGTCGTGCAGTCTCGGGAAAAGCTTTTTTTCCACTCTGAATCTTTACAGTTCTAAAATGTAAAACTGATTTATTTCTGAATCCGGTAGGTAAATCAGTGGAAGGGAGAGGGCTATTTCGCCATACAAGAATGACGCCAGATCATCGATATTGCTGAAGCTTAAGTTAAATTAGTGAACATTTAATATATTATAAGTTACGTAACTTGTAACACCAAATAATTGTCAATGAAGACGAAACTAAATATACTTGAAACCAAATGACACTTGGGGTAAAAATAAGAACAGATGTACTTAAAGTCACATATGTCTTATGTGATTCAATGACAGAATAAAGGTAAGATGTATTGTCGTATAGCCCTTATTCCTCCTGTCTGAAGGCCCCGACTGGTTCCTGTGCATCCAAGACTTGCAGTCCCGGGCTACGATGTTTGGAGACTCGATCTGGAAAAGCTGTCTGTGTACAAGGTAACAAATGGTCTTTTTCACACTTTCTACTATGTACTCGACAATCTCGACAATCTATGCATGTCATTGAAGTAACACTCTTGGTCTCCGGGTGCCATAGAGAGATTTGCGTTTATCTTACACCTGAGACCAACGATTTTTACAGGGTGCTACACGTTCACATTACATCTGATACCTCCGCTAAAATAGGCTGCTACATGCTCACCTTACATCGGAGACCAACACTAAATACAGGCTGCTACATGCTCACCTTACATCGGAGACCAACACTAAATACAGGCTGCTACATACTCACCTTACATCGGAGGCCAACACTAAATACAGGCCGCTACATGCTCACCTTACATCGGAGACCAACACTAAATACAGGCTGCTACATGCTCACCTTACATCGGAGACCAACACTAAATACAGGCTGCTACATACTCACCTTACATCGGAGGCCAACACTAAATACAGGGTGCTACATACTCACCTTACATCGGAGACACACTAAATACAGTGTGCTACATACTTACCTTACATCGGAGACCAACACTAAATACAGGGTGCTACATACTCACCATACATCGGAGACCTCCGCTGACGACAGGGTGCTACATATTCACCCTACATCAGAGACCAACACTAAATTCAGGGTGCTACATATTCACCCTACATCGGAGACCAACACTAAATACATGCTGCTACATACTCACCTTACATCGGAGACCAACACTAAATACAGGGTGCTACATACTCACCTTACATCGGAGACACACTAAATACAGTGTGCTACAAACTTACCTTACATCGGAGACCAACACTAAATACAGGGTGCTACATACTCACCATACATCGGAGACCTCCGCTGACGACAGGGTGCTACATATTCACCCTACATCGGAGACCAACACTAAATACAGGGTGCTACATATTCACCCTACATCGGAGACCAACACTAAATACAGGGTGCTACATATTCACCCTACATCGGAGACCGACGCTATTTACAGAGTGTCACACGTACACATTACATATGATAACTGCGCTAACGACAGGCTGCTACTTGTGCGCCTAACATCGGAGACCAACACTAAATACATGGTGCTACATGTTCACCTATCAAACCAAAGCTCACTAGAATGCACTTCAAGCTCATCTGTTATATGCAATTGGGAGGCAGAGAAGTCAGATAATGGACAGGAAGTTAGTGGGTATATACTCTTGGCTTATATACTTATTGGCTTTGATCTGATGTTCACTAAACAAACGAGGGTTGATCGATAAGTTCTAAACTTCACATAGGAATTACAAAACAGCGAAATCGTCTGTCGTGAACATTACAGGATAATTATCATGGAGATCGGCAGAAACTGAGTCAGTTAAGAACACAAAAATGTTCAATAATCAGTAAACATCACCAGTAACATTCCTTCAGAAAAGTAGCGTGACTCTTACAATGTATGGGGGATGTACATGGACATTTAAATTAGTCTTGGTCATGGAACTCTGTGTTAAACTTGTTGAGGAACTAACTCCGTATGGTTGGCTCCGGTTGTTCATTTTCAAGTGACGTAAATGAGTTAATGGCTTTAGGGTAGTTACCATTGACACAAGAACCCAGAGTAAAGCAACGAGTTGGGGACATAAGCAACATGGCCTTCTTGTCAGAAACATGACTATCACTGGTCGGTCTCAAATGCATATAGACGTATGTTCCATATAATGGTTTCAACGCTCGATTCTAAGGGAGATGTTTTCCACTGCAAACAAATTACCTTTGCTTGCTCATTATGTACCGGCAGTTACATGAAATGCGGGTAGCGAACATGTTGTGGAACTATTTCCGTATGATTTGCTCTGTTTGTAAATTGTCGGGTGACGTCAATGAGTGAATGGCTTTAGGGTAGTCACAATTGACAACAGAACCCAGAGTAAAGCAAAGAGTTGGGAACATAAGCACCACGACCTTCTTTGCAGAAACATGACTACCACTGGTCGGTTAATGAAAGTCTCAAATGCATACAGACGTATGTTTGTAATATTGTGACTTCTTGGCTCGATTTTAAGGAAGATGTATACTACTGCACACCGAGTATCTTTGCTGGCTCAGTATGTACCGGCAGTTACATGAAATGCGGGTAGGGAACCACTGGTACCATCTGTAATAATCAAACAGTTTTTATACCAGAAATTTATTTACTGCAATGAATGATCATAACAAATTGCTGTCATTGTACAAATACAGTAATCTACGGTTATAACGAACACGCTCATAACGAACTAACGGATATAACGAACTTACTTTTTAGTCCCGACTATTTGCTGTAGTTATGCCGTATATATGCTTATAACGAACTACGGTCATAACGAACTAAACTTAGTAGTCCCTTTGAGTTCGTTATAACCGTAGTTTACTGTATAATGTACACATCTACAGATGAGAAGCAGAACTACCCTGAGAGATCTCCACGTCAAAAAGTTGACACGCAGAAAACTTCAGAGAACAATCCTCTTCACGAAGCCTGTAGGAAGGGGGACCTGGACCAGGTGAGACGCATCCTGTCCCGGCGTTTGGTCGACGTCAACGGTAGAGACGAGGAGCACGGGAGGACGCCACTCATGGCGGCGGCAGAGAAGGGACACAGACGAATCTTTGACTTTCTTATTAGAAAAGGAGCTAATGTGTCACAAGGAGATGGTGATGGTAACAACATCCTGCACTTGGCCTGCAGAGGTGGACATATGGGTATGGTGAGGTATGTACTTAAACAAAACAGTGTTGATGTTAACAGTAGAGCAAAGAAGGGAAGAACTCCCCTGATGATGGCTGCATGTCATGGACACAGAGATGTGTTTGAGTTTCTCGTGAGTAAGGGAGCTAATGTGTCACAGGTGGATGATTACGGAGACAACATCCTGCACTGGGCCTGCAGAGGGGGACATTTTGGCATGGTGAGGTATTTACTGTCTGAATACAGTCTTGATATTAACAGTAGGGGAAAGTACGGATCAACTCCCCTGATGAAGGCTGCATCTGATGGACACAGAGATGTGTTTGAGTTTCTCGTGAGTAAGGGAGCTAATGTGTCACAAGTAGATGATAACGGAGACAACACCCTGCACTGGGCCTGCAGATGGGGACATTTAGGCATGACGAGGTATTTACTCTCAGAATACAGTGTTGATATTAACAGTAGGGGAAAGTGCGGATCAGCTCCCCTGATGATAGCTGCATATCATGGACACCGAGAAGTGTTTAGGTTCCTTGTGAGTAAGGGAGCTAATGTGTCACAAGTAGATGATGGCGGCACCAACGTCCTGCACTGGGCCTGCAGGGGCGGACATGCGGGTATGGTAAAGTATGTACTTACACGATACAGTGTTGATGTTAACAGTAGAGCAAAGAGAGGAAGAACTCCCCTGATGAATGCAGCATATTATGGGCACAGAGATGTGTTTGAGTTTCTCGTGAGTAAGGGAGCTAATGTGTCACAGGTGGATCATTACGGAGAAAACATCCTTCACTGGGCCTGCAGGGGCGGACATGTGGGTATGGTGAAGTATGTACTTACACGATACAGTGTTGATGTTAACAGTAGAGCAAAGATAGGAAGAACACCCCTGATGAAGGCTGTATATTATGGGCACAGAGATGTGTTTGAGTTTCTCGTGAGTAAGGGAGCTAATGTGTCACAAGTGGATGACGACGGCGACAACATACTTCATTATGCTTCATTTGGGAGACATGTGAAGATGGTAAAGCATATCCTATCACAGGACATGGTGAACATTGACAGTAGAGGAAAGTACGGAAGGACAGCATTAATGAGAGCAGCGTATAATGGAAATATACAAGTGTTTGATCTACTTGTGAGTAAAGGTGGTCAAACTCCCTTTACGGATGACAATGGTGACAACATCCTTCATCTGGCCACTCTTCGTGGACGTGTGGAGATGGTGAAGCATGTCCTCTCACAGAACATGACAGACATTAACGCCAGGGACAAGGATGGGGAAACTGCAGCGATGATAGCAAAGCGTAAAGGACAACACGGAGTGTATAACCTTCTTGTTTCGCGTGGCTGCCCAGTGGAATAAGTGTACTGTGAACTATGAACAGTCACCCATTTGGTTATAAAACCTCGTTAAAGGTATTGTATGTTTTTGTCTGTAATGAGTTTTTAAAAGTGTTGTGATTATTTCTCACGCGTCGTGAGTGAGTGAGTGAGTGAGTTATGTATAACGCCGTTTTAACAGTATTCCAGTTATATCACGGCGTGTCAGCTTAATGTGGGAGGAAAGCCCGAAGTGATGCAGGTCTCAGACGTTTACCACTTCGGTGAAACCTACGAGCACGGGTATGGTGCTGACAATACTAGTAACATAATCGGGGCGAACCGGGATTCGAACCCGCAATCATAGGTTTCTGGCGAGGACAAGGGACGCAATTCTGCACAGCGAATCGCGGCGCCTTAGACGACTGGGCCACCCGTGCCCCCCGCGCGTCTTGACAGTTTAAAGGTTTCCAACATACTGGCAGTAGAATCAGAAATGCTCCTTTTTGTGATGGGCAGGAGACAGTCGTTGATGATCTCGTTTTATGTCAATTTTAGTCTTCATTTCGTGCCAGGACATGAGGATATCAGGCAGTGTATGACTTTGAATGGCGAGGCAGTCAAGTGCTGTCAAGTTCTGTCACAACGTGTCTTGTTACGATATAATTTGTAGCACGATCACAAGGGGAACATAGGGTTTTGTGTGTCCTGCGTTAGGCTTTATACCTCGAGCCCGACGATTGATGCTAAAACCCAATGTACCCAATGTGGTCCTGCTACAAAGCAAATATCTTTCCAACAAGTTTTAATATGCGATTGTAAAAGAATTATAATAAATTCAAAATTGATAGAAAAGAGGTTAGTATGAGCTTTAATTTGTTTCGTGTATATCATGGTGTGTCAGCATAGTTTGAGAAGAAACGTTGTCGAAACTGGGGAGCAAATCCACGATCATAGGAATCCGGGCAACAAACTCTGAGAAGGGGGTAGCTCATGACGTCAATCACTGGATTGTCTGGTCGATAATCGATTATTTACAAACCACCGTCATAACACTGAAATATTGCTAAGTACGGCGTTAAACAACAAACACAGAAATAAATATCATTTGAATAAAAGCATGAGTGAGTGAGATAGATCACGAATTATCTACATAACAAATTGCGACACCACTTATTCGCTGATTCACCAGCCTTCCGGTTATCAAGCACAGCGATTCAAGCACAGTCCACGGCTATCTTGTGTTCGAGCGTCGCTGATACCCGTCTCTTATCACTGATACTGACGGCAAGTACAGGGACCTATAGCATACATTGGTCATCCACACCCTCATCATCAACAGTCTGTCACGGTTATCAGACAGCAGTGCTCCCCGAGCCAGGATGACATGTAACGTAAACTTGGCTGTGGTTTTAATTATATTAATTCTGCCGCTCAACACTGATGCTGCAGTTAATAAGGTCTACGAGTGTCGCCTCCTGGCCTCGGGTGGCTTGATTGACCTGAACCCCTTGTCCAACCTAGATAACACTCCAAGGTAAGTTACAATTCTTTTTTTTTATAATGGTCTTTTGCATCGCGAATACATCACAGATTTGTTAACACGCTTACCGCCATTAACACGTTTTTAGAACGGTCTTACCCATCGCGAATACATCACAGATTTGTTAACACGCCGTGTCTCCATTCACACGTTTTAAGAACGGTCTTACCCATCGCGAATACTTCACAGATTTGTTAACACGCTTACCTCCATTCACACGTTTTTAGAACGGTCTTTACCAATCGCGAATACTTCACAGATTTGTTAACACGCTTACCTCCATTCACACGTTTTTAGAACGGTCTTTACCCATCGCGAATACTTCACAGATTTGTTAACACGCTTACCTCAATTAACACGTTTTTAGAACGGTCTTACCCATCGCGAATACTTCACACATTTGTTAACACGCCTTACTTCCATTCACACGTTTTTAGAAGGGTCTTACCCATCGCGAATACTTCACAGATTTGTTAACACGCTTACCTCCATTCACACGTTTTTAGAACGGTCTTACCAATCGCGAATACTTCACAGATTTGTTAACACGCCTTACCTCTATTCACACGTTTTTAGAACGGTCTTAACCATCGCGAATACTTCACACATTTGTTAACACGCCTTACCTCCATTCACACGGTTAAAGAACGGTCTTACCCATCGCGAATACATCACAGATTTGTTAGCACGCTGTGTCTCCATTCACACGGTTTAAGAACGGTCTTACCTATCGCGAATACTTCACAGATTTGTTAACACGCCGTGTCTCCATTCACACGTTTTTAGAACGGTCTTACCTATCGCGAATACTTCACAGATTTGTTAACACGCTTTCCTCCATTCACACGTTTTTAGAACGGTCTTACCCATCGCGAATACTTCACAGATTTGTTAACATGCCGTGTCTCAATTCACACGTTTTTAGAAGGGTCTTACCAATCGCGGATACTTCACAGATTTGTTAACATGCCGTGTCTCAATTCATACGTTTTTAGAAGGGTCTTACCCATCGCGAATACTTCACAGATTTGTTAACACGCCGTGTCTCAATTCATACGTTTTTAGAAGGGTCTTACCCATCGCGAATACTTCACAGATTTGTTAACACGCCTAACCTCCATTCACACGTTTTTAGAACGGTCTCACCCATCGCGGATACTTCACATATTTGTTAACACGCCTAACCTCCATTCACACGTTTTTAGAACGGTCTTACCCATCGCGAATACTTCACAGATTTGTTAACACACCTAACCTCCATTCACACGTTTTAAGAACGGCCTTACCCATCGCGAATACTTCACAGATTTGTTAACACGCTTACCTCCATTCACACGTTTTTAGAACGGTCTTACCCATCGCGAATACTTCACAGATTTGTTAACACGCCTTACCTCCATTCACACGGTTAAAGAACGGTCTGACCCATCGCGAATACTTCACAGATTTGTTAACACGCCTAACCTCCATTCACACGTTTTAAGAACGGTCTGACCTATCGCGAATACTTCACACATTTGTTAACACGCCTAACCTCCATTCACACGTTTTTAGAACGGTCTTACCCATCGCGAATACTTCACAGATTTGTTAACACGCCTTACCTCCATTCACACGTTTTTAGAACGGTCTTACCCATCGCGAATACTTCACAGATTTGTTAACACGCCTTACCTCCCTTCACACGTTTTAAGAACGGTCTTAACCATCGCGAATACTTCACAGATTTGTTAACACGCCTTACCTCCATTCACACGGTTAAAGAACGGTCTGACCCATCGCGAATACTTCACAGATTTGTTAACACGTCTTACCTCCATTCACACGTTTTAAGAACGGTCTGACCTATCGCGAATACTTCACACATTTGTTAACACGCCTAACCTCCATTCACACGTTTTTAGAACGGTCTTACCCATCGCGAATACTTCACAGATTTGTTAACACGCCTTACCTCCATTCACACGTTTTTAGAAGGGTCTTACCCATCGCGAATACTTCACAGATTTGTTAACACACCTAACCTCCATTCACACGTTTTAAGAACGGTCTGACCTATCGCGAATACTTCACAGATTTGTTAACACGCCTTACCTCCATTCACACGTTTTTAGAACGGTCTTAACCATCGCGAATACTTCACACATTTGTTAACACGCCTTACCTCCATTCACACGGTTAAAGAACGGTCTGACCCATCGCGAATACTTCACAGATTTGTTAACACGCCTTACCTCCATTCACACGGTTAAAGAACGGTCTGACCCATCGCAAATACTTCAGAGATTGGTTAACACGCCTTACCTCCATTCACACGGTTAAAGAACGGTCTGACCCATCGCAAATACTTCAGAGATTTGTTTACACGCCGTGTCTCCATCACCCCTGAACGTCCGATGTGCAATTGCAATTTGAAGTCCAGCAATTCAATGAGGATGTTCATAACTCAGGACGGCTTTCAGAGTCCGTCTCGGTGACTGAATTGTGAGAGAACTCTACCGTTTCCTAACATAGAAGCAGAATGAAGATCAGCTGGCTGCAAGACTGGCAGATGTTGCACAAGAATCATTGCGGTTTGTACGGTTGAATCTTAGCACTGAGCACTGCTGGTTTTTCACTCGATGGAACCAGGAAGTGACCTGATTCTTTGATCAAAGTACCGATTTCACCGCAGTCGGATGTATTTCGGGTGTGCTGGGGGAGAATTGTGCTGTATACAAACCCATCAAGTATTGACGATGATTCTTTCCAGATTTCATGACATTCCCGACAATGCTGCATCCGACTTCATGTACTCCTGGAATCCATGCGCGCCATTCAGTGAAGGCAACGGCTGCCAAGGAGTGGAGGTGAGGCAGGTGTCTTTAACAATGTGAGTGAGTGAGTGAGTGAGTGAGTGAGTGAGTGAGTGAGTGAGTGAGTGAGTGAGTGAGTGAGTGAGTGAGTGAGTGAGTGAGTGAGTGAGTGAGTGAGTGAGTGAGTGAGTGAGTGAGTGAGTGAGTGAGTGTTTTACAAGCTAATAGATGTCGCGTGTCCAATTTGACACTTTATCTATTTATTACGAAAGGAATCAAAACTGACCCCGATCATTTTTCAAATAAAGACTATGCAGTTCTACCTTTTGGACGGCGATAAAACAAATAGAGCATTTAGATCTTTTATCCCAGTGTGATTGCTAAGTTCTGTACCATTTTAGTCTCTTTGTTTGTCATGTCATTTAATGTCATTTAATGTCAAGTCTTGTTTTACGCCGCTTTTAGCAATATGCCAGCAATATCACGGCGGGGGACACCAGAAATTCACACAGGGTACCCATGTCGGGAATCGAACCCGGGTCTTTGGGGTGTCAAGCGAACGTTGTCATCGTGCTGATTCGGCGTAAAACAACAATAAACCGAGGACATTAACCTCCTAGTGTGTTACAATTATTTGAAAAAAGTTCATCATCTTCGAAATGCATCCGTATTATGATGAATGAATTTTACATAATCTTATACAATTCAGCTGTGTCAAATTTCCCCGACTACTGACGAGGCCCATGTATTGGGTAGGGGAGGCGACTCCAGATTCGTGTTTGAAAACCCAGGAAGGGTGTTCTTTGTCTACAGCATACTCTCCGACCTAGGTCAAACAAGGTAAGAGTGCTTCCTGTCACACATGGGATTACGGGTGGCCGAGTCGTCTAAGGCACTGCAATTCGCTTTGCAGGGTTCCATCCCTTGGGCATGTCAGTAGCCTATGACGATCGCCCAAATTGTGTTTCTAGGTTTGTCAGCACTATACCCGTGCTCGTGGGTTTCACCAAAGAGGTAAACGTCTGAGAACCTCATCACTTTGGGCTTTCCTCCCACATGAAACTGACACGCCGTGATATAACTGGAATACTGTTGAAGGGGGCGTTAAACCCAACTCAATCACTCACTCCTATCACTCAGACCTGGGCACCTGCAGAAACAAGACATTTCCCATAAAACAAAATAAAATTAAAAACACAATAAAAGTGAAACAAAAAACAAAGGCCCTTTGCTGGTAATAAGTACGCAGCTTATGTAATAACCCTATGTCACTAAATGTGGTTTCCGATTTTGGTTACCAAGTGATTAATATTGTGGTTCTGCGTCATTATTTTTCAGAGTGAGTGAGTGAGTATGGTTTTACGCCGCGTTTAGCAATATTCAAGCAATATCAGGGCGGGGGACACCAGAAATGGGCTTCACACATTGTACCCATGTCGGGAATCGAACCCGGGTCTTCGGCGTGACGAGCGAACGCTTTAACCACTAGGCCACCCGACCGCCCCTTATTTTTCAGAAGTATTATAATAGTGAACATGGTCAGTTCAGTAATCGCTGTGAGTAACCCGTTTTATGAGGGAATGCACTTTTAAGGACTTAAAACTTAAAAAGACTACAACATATTTTGGAGCTGTGTACATTAGGCTTTGGTGTGTACGGGGCGGTCGGGTAGCCTAGTGGTTAAAGCGTTCGCTCGTCACGCCGAAGACCCGGGTTCGAATCCCGACATGGGTACAATGTGTGAAGCCCATTTCTGGTGTCCCCCGCCGTGATATTGCTGGAATATTGCTAAAAGCGGCGTAAAACCATACTCACTCACTCACTTTGGTGTGTACAATTTATGTCTATCACTGAAGTATGGAAGATTTGAAATTGTGGTGATATTCTTCAGTATTTACAGCACACACGTTACACATTTCTCCATGGGTTGGGGTGTTATTGTGACAACATGTTCTAAACAGCATTGCTGAGACAGAGGACATGCACAATAGGTAGTGCACTAGTTATAATCAGATTTGTAAGTAATGCCATTAGAAGAATTTCAGTACACCGCATCTGCCGATAATTATCAAGACGTGTACGTTACACCAGACAGTACTTCCCATAAATATGTATTCCATTGGAGCGAGTGATAGCCGATGACGTAGACAGAATCAGTCGTTCAGATTGTCCGTTGTTGACGTTATCGAGGTTGCATGCATAGAAAACACATTAGGACCTTCACTTTCGCGATCTCTTCAGGTCGTTCTAGGTGACCAATAAGGGATGTCCTCAGATCTATATGTAGCGGGACCGCCTCCGTGGTCTAGAGGTAGAGCGTCCGCCCGGAGAGCGGAAGAAGCAGAGAAGAGGCATTGCCATGAAGTAGTAGACCTCCAGCTGCCAGTATTCCTCGACGCCTTTCTTTGATCATCTGTTTACGAAATCAGCATAGTAGACACCGGAACTTTTTATGTAATCTACAAGGTTGCATCCCAGAATACAGTGGCCATAACTTTCTTCACTGACCTTGAAGACTTGAATTCCTTTGCTACCGGAGAATTGGAATGATGCCATTATATGGATTGACATTTAATCGGGATAATAGTGTCAGACCCAGGTTTCATCACCCATTACTAATCTCTTTTTGAATTTGACGAAATGCTCCTCGATAAGCTCTAACTTTTCTCTGCCAGTGTCAGTTATTTCCCTTAAGATCAGAATTTAGAAACTTTGGCACCCAACGAGCAGGTATCTTATTCACACGTCTATCTGACAGTTTAAGTTTTTCTATCTCCTTGATTGAATCTCCATTGATGGAAGTTGAGGGTCAGCATCAAGGCTTGTCCTCCCAGCCTTAAACACAGGATCCGGGGTAGAATAGGTCTTCAGCAACCAATGCTTGCCGTAAAAGGCGACTATGCTTGTCGTAAGAGGCGACTAACGGGATCGGGTGGTCAGGCCCGCTGACTTGGTTGATACATGTCATCGATCCCAATTGCGTGGATCTATGTTCATGATGTAAATCACTGGATTGTCTGGTCCAGACTCGATTATTTACAGACCGCCGTCATATAGCTGGACTTTTGCTGAGTGCGGCGTTAAACAACAAACCAAACCAAACCTTCAACACAGCTGCCCAACGTTTAACAGTGGAAATCTAGGGCACTTGTCCCCATACACTTGTGACATGCGGTCATGAATTTCTTGGGGAGTACTTTTCTCAAAAGTCAAAAACTTGATGACTGCTCGATTCTCGTTCTTTTCCATTTCTGTGTCCATTTGGAACCCTGTCACGTTCATCTGGCTGTCATATACAAACGGCCCAATAGACCAAATACACTTGCAATGGACTACTCAAACAATGCACTTCATTGACTAGTTCACTTTATTATGGTCCAAAGTTGAAAGTTAGTCAGGCTTAGAACCTTTTGACCGGCCCTCGTTATAGTAATGGATAGATGGCTCGTGGTGTCCAGAGACCCAGAGTCAAGTTGCATTCCTCCACTATTATGATCTACGAAGTAGGAGTCAATATCATTCAAGTACAAATTGGGCGATAAATTTAAACCTGAGAAGCAATGGACATTCCTCTCAGTTACTTCTATTTACGGAAACACATGAGTTAATACATCATAAATCGATTAAATAACCGATTTCTCAGCAATCCGTTGCACTACTAATTTGTTCCAGAATTAAACAAACCAAACGCTGTCAAAAGCATTCTTCAAATCAAAAAAGTAAACATAACATAATTCAATATTTAAATAGTTCAATTAAGCAACACCAGGTGCAAATATTAATAGAATATTTCTGTCGGAAACATGCTTGTTCTTCGTACTCCTTGTTTGTTTCCAAACTATAACTTGTAATTTGTTTATTAACTCTTTTGGTTGGCTAATGATAACGTCAGGTGTTTGGTTTGTGTTGCAGAGAGACGTATATTGAACTCGTGTGTAACACTTCAGTTGAGGCTCAACTTGTCTTTCAGGGAGAAAACCCAGTATTGAAATATGTGAGCATACCTTTCATGATTTTGACTTGAAAAAAATAACAATTTTGTACAGATTGCTATATATGATACTTTATTTTCGATAAGGTTTTCGACCGCATCGGTGGTGTAAAGGGCAGAGTGTCTGCCCAGAGAGAGGAAGGGCTGTTTCGATGCCCGGCCGCGTCATACCAAAAGACGTTAATAGATGGTACTTGTTATTACCCTGTCTGGCGCTCAGCATTAGGGGCTAAAACAAGGACTGGTCGGCTCGGAGTCAGTATACTGTGTCTGAGTGGGGTATTCATGTTAAACTGCGGCATGGTATCTCAGTGTGCTAGCACTATAAAACCGGAACTATTCCGTACTAGGACAAGCAGTCACACGCACTCACGCACGCACACGCACGCACACACGCACACACACACACACATGCATGCACGTCACTACATAAGTGACGTATTATTGAACGCGACGTTAAACCCCATTTCACCTCAACTCACCCCACCACACCTCACCTATAACGTTTTCACAAAGCAAATCTTAAAGTGGACAAGAGAACTCTGAATATATAAGCGGTCTGAATATATTCGTCATAATGTTTAATGAAGCAATGCACATGACCTCGATATTACACAGCATTGATAAAATGATTCATGACATATTTTGTCACACAGATAAACTAACATCGGATGTGGACAATGTACTTTGACCTCTTACTTCCGTAAGCTGAACCTCTTTACATGTACTGCACCTGTTGTGTAAGTGAGTGAGTGTGGTTTTACGCCGCTTTTAGAAATATTCCAGCAATATCACGGCGAGAAATGGGTTTCACACATTGTACCCATGTCGGGAATCGAACCCTGGTCTTCGGCGTGACGAGCGAACGCTTTAACCACTAGGCTACCCGACCGCCTCCCTGTTGTGTGTACTCGGGTCCACTCAACTCCATCCGACACCTATAATATACCTACACATAATCACCTTCAGGACAAATTATTTTTTTATTTTTTTTAAGTCCACAATAAGCAATATTCCAGCTATATGACGTCGGCCTGTATATAATAGAATCTAGACCTGACAATCCAGAAATAGATAGTATGGCCATTGATCTAGCCGTCGGGTTGCGCTGACTCGTTACGTCATCGAGCGTTACGACCAGCATAGGCTGCTTAGTACCATCCCCCTGGAGAATAACACTCATTTGGTACTACAGTAAAGTACGGTTATAACGAACTCAAAGGGACTGCTTATTTTAGTTCGTTATAACAGTAGTTCGTTATAAGCATATATACAGCATAGCTACAGCAAATAATCGGGACCAAAAAAGTAAGGTCGTTATATATCCGTCAATTCATTATAAGCATGTTCGTTATAACCATAGTTTACTGTATTTCAGCACATGGTACTGACAAGCAAGTACGCATGTCCCAAGCCTGTGCCTTCCAACAGCACAACGTCACCTTTAACCACGACCCACAGCAGCCCCGTGACATCCCCATCCACGACCCCCAGCAGTCCAGTGACACCCCGATCCACGACCCCCAGCAGTCCAGTGCCACCCCCCTCCCCGACCCCCACGTCAACCCCAGGGCCAAACATCTTCAACTTGGAGACAATAACAATACTCCTGGCATGCATATTGTAAGTACTGGAATATTAATGTCATTAAAGTATATTTACGTGTAGTCATGTGGCCGCCTCCGTGGTCTAGTGGTAGAGCGGAAAGTTCGGGGTTCGATCCCCGGCCGCGTCATACCAAAAGATGGTACTTGTTGTTACCCTGTCTGGCGCTCGGCATTAAGGGGCTAAAACAAGGACTGGTCGGCTCGGAGTCAGTATACTGTGTCTGAGTGGGGTATTCATGTTAAACTGCGGCATGGTATCTCAGTGGGCTAGCACTATAAATCGGCATCAGTCCAGACTAGTACAGCCACAAAAACACGTACATGCACGTCGCTATATAAGTGCAATAATCTTGGACGCGACGTTAAACCCCATTTCACCTCACCGTGTAGTCATGTACAATACCGCGCAAAAGTAACTTCCTAACAGTCCCATTCCACACTATGAACGTGTTCAGTATTCCTTCATTGAACGTTCATTATGATATTTGTATTACACCCAAAATCACTCGGCAAACATAAAGCTTTGGCGGGTTCCAAGTCCTTGGAATAACGGGGAAATCTAAATTGTCCATTTCCATAATCTGAAATCTGTTCAGATGTGTTCAAAACGCTTTTTGGGGGGTAGTTACTTTTGCACATAAGTGTATCACATAATACAAACTCAATAAGTTAGGAGATATTGAAGGGATGTTGAAGTAACGTCTCCGAACTATATTTTCACAAGAGCATACATTTTGACGACATAATTGTCAAAGAAAACCTGAATTTGGTAGAATCAAAGTCGCCATAAAGAAACTATTTAAGGATCAGCTCGAGGCCTCAAATAAAATATAGGCATTATTCACTCCTACATTTTGACATTTCAGTCTGTCGCTCGTTTTCCTTCTTTTCCTGGTGTTCGTTGGTCTCATCACTCGGCGTTAAAAGATTCCAAACAACAGTTCGAAACATTCTCACCACTCGACTCTTTCCGTCACCCGCAGGCCGCCATTCGGGTGTTCCCGGACACGAGTGGTCACGAGGACAGAACGAAACCCCATCCATTGAAACGACGAATCAATAAATTACCTCACGACAAAGGCGTGTTGTTGCCGATATCAATGTTAATCGAATAGAAATAGAAAGAAATTACCATCCACAAATATAACATTGCTGCACTTTGTGTTGTTTTTTAAAATAAAAAAATCAAACCTCAATAATCCGGACGTTACCCATCCAAATCGTCAGGGTTAACACATGTCCGGATTGACGAATCACGGGTACAGAATAATATCCTAGATCGTCCGGTTGTTTGGATTTCCGCATTTACGGGTGTCCGGACTAGCAAGGTTTCACTGGACATCCTACACCGCGAATTAAATGCTGTTCCAGCAGTATGACGGTGGCAGGTGAATAGTCAAGAACAATGAATGACAGTAGGAATGTCCAGGGCCCACTTGCACAAAGCGATCTTAGCGCTAAGATGATCGTAACTCCCATACTTTAACAAAGGCTTACAACAGTCGTTGCACTAAGATCGCTTTGTGCAAGTGGGCCCAGATCCGCCCCTGCAGATTCCCACACTTTTATAACGAGTGAGTGAGTTGGGTTTAACGCCGCTTTTAACAGTATTCCAGTTATATCACGGCGTGTCAGCTTGATGTGGGAGGAAAGCCCGAAGTGATGCAGGTCTCAGACGTTTACCACTTCGGTGAAACCCACGAGCACGGGTATGGTGCTGACAAACCTTGAAACATAATCGGGGCGAACCGGGATTCGAACCCACAATCATAGGTTTCTGGCGTGCCCAAAGGACGCAACTCTGCACAGCGAATCGCGGCGCCTTAGACGACTGGGCCACCCGTGCCCCCAAATGTATCTATAAGTTCATCATAGGTCTCTGCATTCCTCCAAACACCCCTTAAATACTTGAAGATTGAGACTGATAACATGTGTGATGTTTATTTAAACACCTCTCTAATGTCGTCAAACCGGAACATCAACGAACAAACGTAGCTTCGAATCTCCCAACCAGTGTGTCGAAAAATATATTGTGCATCCGGGTCCAATATCCTTCATCCGGGTCACACCTATTCTTCCCATCTTGGGAGGTTTAGACAAGCGATTCATCATACAACATGCCTGAAAAATCAATAATACCAGTAAATTATAGGGTGGTGATTATGGAGTGGTTTGTGATGTGGGTGATTGGAGAGATGGGTTTGGATGGTATTATGAGGTGAGATAGGGCGGGGCTGGCGGGGCGGGGCGAGATGGGTTTGGATGGTATTAAGAGGTGAGATAGGGCGGGGCGGGGCGAGATGGGTTTGGATGGTATGATGAGGTGAGATAGGGCAGGGCGGGCGGGGCGGGCGGGGCGGGCGGGGCGGGGCGAGATGGGTTTGGATGGTATTAAGAGGTGAGATAGGGCGGGGCGGGCGGGGCGGGGCGAGATGGGTTTGGATGGTATGATGAGGTGAGATAGGGCGAGGCTGGCGGGGCGGGCGGTTTGGATGGTGGTATAGGGTGAGATGGGTTTGGTTGATGTTGTGAGTGAGTAAGTGAGTATGGTTTTACGCCGCTTTTAGCAATATTCCAGCAATATCACGGCGGGGGACACCAGAAATGGGCTCTCACATTGTACCATGTCGGGAATCGAACCCGGGTCTTCGACGTGACGAGCGAACGCTTTAACCACTAGGCTACCCGACCGCCCGGTTGATGTTGTGAGGTAGGATGGGTTGAGATGGGTTGAAATGGTGTCATGGGGTAACATCGGTTTGGATGATGCTACAGGGTGAGATGGCATGGGATGGTGTTATGGGGTGAGATAAGGCGGTGCGAGTTGAGTTAGCGATGGGGTGAGGTGCTTTTTGCAATATTCCAACAATATCACGCGGAGGACACCAGAAAGGGACTCCACACATTATTTTTTGTACCAATGTCGGGATTCGACGCGGCGGGCTGAGTTGATAAGAGATGGGTTACGATGGTGGTGACTGGGATGATGGAGGCCAGAGAGACTCAAGGGCAAGGAAGAACACAGAAACACATTCAAATACACGTTAAAACATCAAAACTGAACAAAGAACAACAAAACCATTGTATCAAAAAGTGAATAGAAAAAAGGACATTACTGTACAACAAAGCGATCTGAGCGCAACGACTGTCGTACGTTTATGTTATGACACAAGTTATGACGTCCTAGTGCCAGTGTCACGTTTTGGAACGGGGTTCTAATGGCTGCCGGTGTGACATTGAAAATGGACCCGCGTTGAAAAGTGATCCGAGAGTCAGTATTCAACGTTGAAAACATACCCGGTCTCAATTTTCAACAGACCAGGGTCAATTTTCAACAGCTGAAAAGTGACACTGTCAGCTTACCAAGGCATGTCCCCACGCATCGAATGCAAATAGTGCTTTTAATGTTAGTGTTCTTTAACTAATCTTATTGATACTAACTTCTCACAATATTGTTTATTCGTTTGTGAAGTGGGATTTCATATTTTGAAATATTACGGGGTTGAAGTTTGTATGTAAATATACCAACTTGCGTGCCAACGCAATATATATTTATATAAATATATATATATAAATGACTTAAAATTACAACATGTATATATTATTGCACTGAAATATACTTGACATCATGTTAACACTTCGAAAGAATAATCATTAAACGCTATTCCTAACACCACAATGAACATTTTATGCGTGGTGACGTTCTAGGTCGGGGACGTTTTCGGTGTACCACTTTCTACTTACGGCTTCCAAATTGTAGATAATATTTTCGGATAATAATCTTCGACCCCCACACACACACACGATGTCCCTCCTCTCTCTCTCTCTCTCTCTCTCTCTCTCTCTCTCTCTCTCTCTCTCTCTCTCTCTCTCTCTCTCTCTCTCTCTCTCTCTGCACCAATTTAGACATGTTGTCATACTTCAACGGAGTCACTTTTCAACGCGAGGCCCGGGTCACTATTTAACGACTTGGTAAGCTGACAGGGTCACTTTTCAACGTTGAATACTGACCCCCGGGTCACTTTTCAACGCGGGTTCATTTTCAATGTCACACCGGCAAGGCCAGATTAGAGTTTCCGTTTATCGTGTGTTTTAATTCTGTCATGGTCACACATACCTGCGATACACGCGAGGCCCGGGTCACTATTTAACGACTTGGTAAGCTGACAGGGTCACTTTTCAACGTTGAATACTGACCCCCGGGTCACTTTTCAACGCGGGTTCATTTTCAATGTCACACCGGCAAGGCCAGATTAGAGTTTCCGTTTATCGTGTGTTTTAATTCTGTCATGGTCACACATACCTGCGATACACGCGAGGCCCGGGTCACTATTTAACGACTTGGTAAGCTGACAGGGTCACTTTTCAGCTGTTGAAAACTGACCCTGGTCTGTTGAAAACTGAGACCGGGTACGTTTTCAACGTTGAATACTGACCCCCGGGTCACTTTTCAACGCGGGTTCATTTTCAATGTCACACCGGCAAGGCCAGATTAGAGTTTCCGTTTATCGTGTGTTTTAATTCTGTCATGGTCACACATACCTGCGATACACGCCGTCATGTAGCAGGCCAGCTGGCCGGTGACGTTTGCACGTGCGATGTATCTGGATATGGTGCGTCTCCTTCCAGGAATCAAGGTACAGAACACTCCCAGGGTCACTCCGATAGCCGCCAGGTGGTTCTGGCCACAGAACGCGTACGTCCCTATCACTTCAGATCGTTTCTGGGAGCAAGACAATGTCAATGATCAAGATCAACGGTTGTATCCTCTACAGAACGCGTACGTCCCTATCACTTCAGATCGTTTCTGGGAGCAAGACAATGTCAATGATCAAGATCAACGGTTGTATCCTCTACAGAACGCGTACGTCCCTATCACTTCAGATCGTTTCTGGGAGCAAGACAATGTCAATGATCAAGATCAACGGTTGTATCCTCTACAGAACGCGTACGTCCCTATCACTTCAGATCGTTTCTGGGAGCAAGAAAATGTCAATGATCAAGATCAACGGTTGTATCCTCTACAGAACGCGTACGTCCCTATCACTTCAGATCGTTTCTAGAGCAAGACAATGTCAATGATCAAGATCAACGGTTGTATCCTCTACAGAACGCGTACGTCCCTATCACTTCAGATCGTTTCTGGGAGCAAGAAAATGTCAATGATCAAGATCAACGGTTGTATCCTCTACAGAACGCGTACGTCCCTATCACTTCAGATCGTTTCTGGGAGCAAGAAAATGTCAATGATCAAGATCAACGGTTGTATCCTCTACAGAACGCGTACGTCCCTATCACTTCAGATCGTTTCTGGGAGCAAGAAAATGTCAATGATCAAGATCAACGGTTGTATCCTCTACAGAACGCGTACGTCCCTATCACTTCAGATCGTTTCTGGGAGCAAGACAATGTCAATGATCAAGATCAACGGTTGTATCCTCTACAGAACGCGTACGTCCCTATCACTTCAGATCGTTTCTAGAGCAAGAAAATGTCAATGATCAAGATCAACGGTTGTATCCTCTACAGAACGCGTACGTCCCTATCACTTCAGATCGTTTCTGGGAGCAAGACAATGTCAATGATCAAGATCAACGGTTGTATCCTCTACAGAACGCGTACGTCCCTATCACTTCAGATCGTTTCTGGGAGCAAGACAATGTCAATGATCAAGATCAACGGTTGTATCCTCTACAGAACGCGTACGTCCCTATCACTTCAGATCGTTTCTGGGAGCAAGACAATGTCAATGATCAAGATCAACGATTGTATCCTCTACAGAACGCGTACGTCCCTATCACTTCAGATCGTTTCTGGGAGCAAGACAATGTCAATGATCAAGATCAACGATTGTATCCTCTACAGAACGCGTACGTCCCTATCACTTCAGATCGTTTCTGGGAGCAAGACAATGTCAATGATCAAGATCAACGATTGTATCCTCTACAGAACGCGTACGTCCCTATCACTTCAGATCGTTTCTGGGAGCAAGAAAATGCCAATGATCAAGATCAACGGTTGTATCCTCTACTATTTGAGTGTGCTTGGTTAATGCATGGAGGAACAGTATTTCAGTTGCATCACGGCGAGTCAGTTGGTGAGAGATAATCCAAAAGTGCAAGTTTTAGATGTCGCTTTGGTGAAACCAACGAGCGCTGTGATGGAACTGACAAACAGAGGATCATAGTCAGGTCAAACGAGGGATTCGAACCCACGATCAATGGTTTGTGACACTGCTAAAAGACTATTGAGAGCACCAAGTACATTTACGGTATGTCTTCACATAAATGAGAGTAGATGACAAGAAAAGATTATATTATATTTGAGAATTGACTTCCATACACTCACTCACTCACTCACTCACTCACTCACTCACCCCATACCGTCAGTATCCCTCCTGCTAGCGTTCTGTTGGTCAAGTCCAGTACGATATCTCGGTTCTCCCAATGCCAAGTCCCGTTAGTTGAGGCCATGTACTGCTCCAACGCCTGGCGGTTCTTGATTAGCTTCCCAAACAGTTGGTAGCCGTAAAATGAGTTTGCAAATGTCTTAATGCCGAACAGCTCACCAATCCTCAAGACGTCCGAGCCCGAGAATCCCATGATGTACACGATGGGATAGAAACCATATGAGCACAGGAACTGAAACAAAATACAATACCGTGTTCACACAGCTGTTATCAGCACCCTTCTCAAACCGATGCGTTGCACGTGTCACTAGCGGAGAGGGGTGTACTATGAATTTTCATGTTTCACAAGCGGAGTGTTCTATGAGATCCAAGTGTCACTAGCGGAGTGTTCTATTAATTCCAAGTGTCATTAGCGGAGTGTACTATGAGATCCAAGTGTCACTAGCGGAGTGTTCTATGAATTCCAAGTGTCATTAGCGGAGTGTACTATGAGATCCAAGTGTCACCAGCGGAGTGTTCTATGAGTTCAAAGTGTCACCAGCGGAGTGTTCTATGAGTTGCATGTGACATTAGCACCCTGAATATATCCGAGTTAATGTATAAGGAAAGAAAGTCTTTGGGGTATACAGCAATTTAAAACATATTTTGTATCACAGATAACAGGATATCGACATTTCACAATGAAGTCTTACTACCGAAGGACTATTTGTATTGCACCTTATGTGTGTAATCTGATCCACTTAACTTGAAGTGCCGGCTACAAGATACCTACTATACATTATGACCTTTAGGATAGAGATATCTTTTGGTTTGTTTTTAAAACCACAGTCATAAATATTCCAGCTGACGTCAGTAAATAACCGAGTCTTTAACGGAAACTAGTGATTAATATCAGACCCGTGAAGATTCCGGGGTAGAATAGGTCTTCAGCAACCCATGCTTGCCGTAAAAGGTGACTATGCTTGTCGTAAAAGGCGACTAACGGGATCGGGTGGTCAGGCTCGCTGACTTGGTTGATACATGTCATCGATCCCAATTGCGTGGATCGAAGTTCATGATGTCTATCACTGGATTGTCTGGTCCAGTCTCGATTATTTTACAGACCGCCGTCATATAGCTGGAATATTGCTGAGCGCGGCGTTAAACAACAAACAAACAAACAAACAAACAAACAAAGATAAATATCATGATCAACGTCCAATGCTCTTGGGATACAAGGACACGCATTCGATCAAACCTTATCATTGGATCCACTGGGTCCTCCAGAACGTGGACCTGTTCTAACCTGGAACGTTTGACTGAACCGAGGACTATTCGATGTTACCTTAGCCATATGAATATTTACATGCGCAGAACTAGCTCCACTATTTCTGCTATGATAGTCAAATGTAAATATATGCAAATCTGTATGTAAATGATTGTCTGTAGAGTAACATTTAGTCTCTGAAATCTTATATTACACAATATCTTTCTTGACTCTTAAAAATAAAATAAAAATCCCTATGCCGAGCTAGCTTGAGTTGGCTAGACTTGCTTTTGTACGCATTTCTAGATTATTTTTCTTTCATAAAATAAACATATTCCACGGTCATGGTGTGGAATAGAGCTAGCTTGAGTTGGCTAGATTTGCTTTTGTATGCATTTCTATATTATTATTTTTTCATAAAATAAATATATTCCACGGTCATGGTGCAGGACTAGATTGTCTGATGAACAAGTGTTTGTTCTACGTTCATAGAACCCTCTTACACGACAACAGAAAGTCTTAACAATAGCAGATTCGACAATTACCTCAAACGACAGGCCAGATACGCCCACTCTGTCCCCGAACCACAGCAGCGTGGAGTCAACGAAGTCGATGATCGCCATGTAGATGATCTGGTTGGCGATCACACTTGCAATAATTGGTATAGATTCTTTAGCACCCTCTGACACGGCTTCTAGAAGGTTGTGGAACTTACTGTAGATCATTATTAAAGCTGTGTTATTACCTTGTGAAAAAACCCTGAAGATCCGCATTAGAATAAATTTTTGGCACCTCACGCTTGGCGTAAGAAGCGACACACCGCCGTCATACAGCTGAAATATTGTTGAATGTGGCATTCTTGCCTCCCCAGCACCCAATAACGTTTGGAGATCACATAAGGGATCACAATAAAATCTGACGGTAGCACACTAGGAACAGGGTATGACAGACTACAACCTACTTGACATGATGTCCACGTGGGGCGATGAACAACTGTCTGACTGTTGGGAACATCATCATCATCATCATCATCATCATTATAATTTATAGATTAAAATTTGAAAAATGCAGGAAAGAGGGTTTGGGTGTTCCTGGCATAGTCAGGCTGATTAGGCTCATCATCAGCTCAGGACTCTTGCCCCCTCTACACGCAGCTCAGACAGAGAATGGGACTTCTCCCAGGAAGCGCTGCCAAGGCAAACCCACACAGAATTTTCGGCGAATGTGAAGACTCCCCAACACTGCAGCCTTCTGCATTACCCAGATTGTCAGGAGGGCTGTATTACTGGTTGCAAACCCGGGTACTCTCCCAATGTCAGTCAACAGATTGGGAGGTACCAATTCTAAGGCACCGAGAACAATGGGGAGTTGGACAACTTGGTACTTGGGATGCAAGCGGGACATTTTGAAAGCGAGGTCCGCATATTTGTCAATCTTGTCAATCACATTAGTGTCAGAAAATTCAATAATATAAGTGATTTCATTGGATTTTTCAAAAAGTACAAGATCAGGTTTGTTGGCCTGGATACGTCTGAGGCTGCATACGGGCCTATTCAATAGGATTTTGTATTCATCATTTTCCATGACGCCCTCTACATATTCCGTGTCGTACCATGGATGGACCTCTGTGTCAAAACCACAAGCATGGCGACGACGGTAATACAAAATCGAGCTACACCATCATGTCGCTTGGGATTCTGTGTTTGTGCTAAAGCTGGGCTTCCAAGGACAATGTGTTGGACAGTCTAACTAAATTCATTGCATAATCTACATTTCATATTTACATTTTGATGCAAAGTCACACATTGATGGTTTCGAGTGGGAAGTGACTGGTCCTGAGCAGCCACAGAAACTTCTGTTTAACTTTTCAGGCCTGCCGACCTAATCCAAGCAAAGGACTCTACAGGGTTGCTGATCTCAACACACTGCACATAAACTCGATGCAATGGTCGCTCAGAAAGCCTCTCCCTGATAAACTGAGTTTGGGCCGACTTGATTAGGCACTTCGCTTGGTTCACACTCATTTTCGTACCGTCCAGCAGTACAGAACCACCGAATCAACATTGAGATGATGTCCCACATCCTGTTCGTTTTAGAAAACTGTGGAATGCCTCGTTTTCATCATGAGTCTTGACATGCTTCACAAGAGGATCATCAGACAAATAAATGTGTGCAAAAGTGCGCAAAACAATTCTATCATTAAGAGCCTCCACATTAATCAATCCACGCCCTCCCATCCTAATCGGTAAATATACGCGATTGAGGGAAGAGCTAGGGTGGTGGGATCTATTGTCTGACATGATTCTCGTGTGAGGGTGTCAATACCCTGAGTTTCGTGTTTCGTCCAATCAACAACAGCAAAAGAATACGAAAGGACGGGCACAGCATAAGTATTTGTGGCTTTGACTTTATTGCGAGCGTTCAGCTTTGAACTCCAGATTTTCTTTAGTCTACATTTGTACTCTGCCCGAAGTTTGCCCTTGATATGGGCATTCTGGAGTTTGTCCCTAATCTGCATCCCTAAGTACGTATAGGCCTTACCTTCCACAATATGGTCAAATACTCCTCTTCCTATCATCATCATTATTATTATTATTATTATTATTATTATTATTATTATTATTATTGCCTACATTTATAAAGGTCGTATGTGACTCACGGTACGGGGATGTTGTAGGCGTCGCTTGGTTGGACCCTGGTCCATTGTGTTTCCGGCACAATCAACTTGGACATGGCCAGGGCGGCAGGCGCGGACATGACGCTGGCAGCCAGCAGATGATTGGCTGGGGCCTGCCAACAACAGAATGACGTCATTCAACAGGAACTTATTCAGGATGAGTATCTTCTGCGCAGTCTGTAATGTCATGCTGGACGATACGTAGAGACATGAAAACGATTATGTACAAACGAATAAGTAATACAAATAACACAACACTATTTCCAGTATTTCGCAAAAAGTTTAAAAGAGTGTAAAACGTCATATTTGGGTATGCGTTGTTAAGTTACGGAATACTGTTTCCTCGATGGGTACCAACGAAAACAACAATAATAATAAGACTACAGTTGAACGTAATAATAATTCATTGTTGGTACCAACCCCAAAAGATGTTAGCATTCCAAATATCGTCCCTGCAATGCTTGCGAATCCAGCCGCCATGACAGCATGCAGTTCCGAGGGCGTGAGCAAAGGAAGGAAGGGCTTGATGGCAAGAGGCGATTCCGCCTGACAATGACATACTTGCATGAACTACCGCCTCTTAAAACAACTCGCATTTATAATCTGTTAAAATGTTTAATGCCATAACCAGCAAAGTTATATCACGATGTATATATTGTTAGCCATATTTCAGCTACATTGCGACCAGTCAAATATCATCATCAACATTACGACAGCGAGATCACGAGCACTTAAATATAATCAGCAATATTATGACAGATTTTATCTTGACGGCATGTAGTCAGCAATATTACAGCTAAACGGACTGTCAAAGAAAGTATAGACCTCTGTTTGTTGGTGGCTAAACATGAAACACACAAGAATTGGTTATTGGATAGTAAGGTATTTAATACGGGTATCATAGTTGTGTTATCGACCTTACGTCTGCACCGTTTCGGAAAAATGTTTTCAGCCAAGTAGCGTTTTGATACCGTTTGAATTTTTTCAGTCGAATCCAATTCTAGTGTATACTTTCATTTGCCGGACAGTTTGAATGTATTGAGATCCAAAATGAAACATTCGTAAGAAAAAGATACACAAATCGACCCTACTGGCCCAAACACAATGTTGAGTGCTGTGTTGACCGACTCCACTGGGCTGGTGCCCAGACAGACAGAAAGCAACCATCCGAAACTGGCCACAAATGCCTGAAGGATCCCGTAGTAGTACAGCACGTTGATCGCCGAGGCGCACAGAAGAATAAATGGCATCACCTGAGAACATAGAACACGACAACATCAGAGCTAGTTCAACGAATATCAGAACCAGTTCCAAGAATATCAGAACCAGCTCCAAGAATATCAGAACCAGTTCCACGAATATCAGAACCAGTTCCACGAATATCAGAACAAGTTTCAAGAATATCAGAACTAGCTCCAAGAATATCAGAACTAGCTCCAAGAACATCAGCACCACTTCCAAGAATATCAGAGCCACTTCCAAGAACATCAGAACTAGTTCCAAGAATATCAGAACCAGTTCCAAAAATATCAGGACCAGTTCCAAGAATATCAGAACCAGTTCCAAGAATATCAGAACCAGTTCCACGAATATCAGTACAAGTTTCAAGAATATCAGAACTAGCTCCAAGAATATCAGGACTTGCTCCATGAACATCAGCACCACTTCCAAGAATATCAGAACCAGTTCTAAGAATATCAGAACTAGCTCCAATATCAGAACTAGCTCCAAGAATATCAGGACTAGCTCCATGAATATCAGAACCAGTAACAAAAACATCGGCACCACTTCCAAGAATATCAGAACTAGTTCCAAGAATATCAGAGACAGTTCCACTTAAAGCAATTATCCTAACTGGGGCGGTCGGGTAGCCCAGTGGTTAAAGCGTTCGCTCGTCACACCGAAGATCCGGGTTCGATTCCCGACATGGGTACAATGTGTGAAGCCCATTTCTGGTGTCCCCGCCCAGATATTGCTGGAATATTGCTAAAAGCGGCGTAAATCCATACTCATCCATCATAACAAAAACTTATTTTCGCTGAAATATTTTGTGTGATAATAAAAGGTCTGCAGTGAAGGTGTCAGTGTAAACCGGAATCGTAAATTATGCGAACAGGATCGACTTGAACGGGTTTTCACAAGACGGCAACATGATAATCACATTTAATACGAGGAATTAATCCAATAATTTATGCAGGCCGCTAGATATTTATTCGCTGATGGTTTTGTTGGCATTCTGGAACTAACTATGTCCCCTATGCATGGGTGTGGGTGATAATTTTGTTGATGTTGATGGAACTGATGATGTTAATGTTGATGTTGATGGAGATGATGATGTTGATGATGATGTTAGTGTTGATAGGTCCCCTATGCCCGTGTTGATGTTGTTGATGGTAATAGCTATGATTATGTTGATGTTGATGGAGATGATGATGTTGATGATGATGTTAATGTTGATAGGTCCCCTATGCTCGTGTTGATGTTGTTGATGGTAATAGCTATGATTATGTTGATGTTGATGGAGATGATGATGTTGATGATGATGTTAGTGTTGATAGGTCCCCTATGCCCGTGTTGATGTTGTTGATGGTCATGGTGATGATTATGTTGATGTTTATGGAGATGATGATGTTGATGATGATGATGGTGTTAATGTTGATAGGTCCCCTATGCCCGTGTTGATGTTGTTGATGGTAATAGCTATGATAATGTTGATGTTAATGGAGATGATGATGTTGATGATGATGTTGATGGTGATTGTGATGGCTGTCAACCACTGGTTCGCCATACGCAGGCTTCATTATTTACAGTAAATAAAGTACTACATCTTCCCGAGGCAAGAGAGTTAACTGACTTTAAAAGTCAAGTTTCCACCCTTGCCGAACTAGGCTGGAATTCCTGGGCTCGATCGTAGCGTAGTGGCTATTACGAGTCATGTCCGTCTATGCCTCTCCTATTGACCAATCAGATTCAACCTCTCGTATCACATGCATTTGCGAGTCTTACATCGCGAAGTGCATCAAATCACATGAGCACCTTGATTAAAAACATGAAAAGATTTAGAAAATATCTGTTGACAACGAGTTAGCGGTGCACATGCTTTGCAAATGCTGCAGTCGACCGAAATCTGCATGATACTTTACGAACCGGATTTCGATTTCGGTGCGCGATTTTGATTGGACTATGCATAAACTTGTTAGTCCAGCCAACATGTAACTCCATAATACCAGCCTAGTTCGGCAAGGGTGGAAACTGGACTTTCATAGTCAATAACTCTCTTGCCTCGGGAAGATGCATGTACTACCGCATACATGGTTGTCCTCTTTCAACCTAAAGCATCCAAAGATGCATCCGTTCATCTGCTTGCCTTTGGTCCAAATCCCAGATTCATTTTAATGTTCGTTGTCTGTCTGCATCCGTTTTCGGAACCCATCCCACATTAAGCTGACATTGTCGAAAAACTGTCACAACTGTTTGTACTCTGGACGAGACAATCCGATTATTGGCATCATGGGAATCCGTCAGAGCAATTGGGATGCAATGTCATACGCCGAGCCATACCACTCGATCTATTTCGTTGCCTGTTACTTCACTCATAGGCAGCTTGAGACCTACATTCTTTCCTGGAATCCCGACCGGTCAAGAACACAACTAACTTACTGGACATGGTTCTTTGTCCAGTTTTAGAAAAGCAAATTACAACACTACATTTAAGACTACTATTATACTAGAAGCGTATCTATTAAGTGTAAATTTACATAAGTTTAGAACAGATCTGTCTTGATTTCGTTGTGGCTCACATGATGTATTTATTGAAACAGGCAGATTGGTTGGTTTGTTGTTTAACGTCACACTCAGCAATATTCCAGCTATATGACGGCGGTCTGTAATTAATCGAGTCTGGACCAGACAATCCAGTGATTAATATCATAAGCATCGATCCCAGCGAGCCTGACCACCCGATCCCGTTAGTCGCCTTTTACGGCAAGCATGGGTTGCTGAAGACCTATTCTACCCCGAATCTTCACGGGTATTGCAAGAGAACAAAGACATTGTAGGATTTGTAAAACTAATTGTATTGAAGATGACTATCACTTTCTATGTGTATGTCCAGTGTATAATGATTTAAGAGCAAAATATCTGGTAACTGTTTCTACCACGACCCATACAGTAACCATTTTTGTAAATTAATTACTTGTGATTGTACAGAAACATGTGAAGTTTATCAATGTTCCTTTATCGTGCTATGAAACTAAGAAAATTTATGAATTTGTAACACGCCCCAGACAATGTACTATAGGCCTTTGGCGTCATCAGTACCATGAATTCAGATTGATTGACCTACTCAGTTCAAATCGAACCGACAGTCTACGCGCGTCAGCTATTACACGCTCATTCGACGACTGACAGTATAATGTTATATCTAATTAACTGCGGTATATATCGATACTTTGTACTGTGACTAATGTGGGTGAACGTTATTTTATGCTGCAGTTTTAACAAAATTTCACCAAAATTAAGTCAGTAAATAATCGAATGTGGGTCAGACAAACCAGTGACTGAAATAATGAACAGCCATCCACGCGATGGGGGTACGCGAAGTCACAAAGTCTGAAAATGTGCTCCCCATTTAAATTTGCCCTTCCATATCTCTGACATACATGGAATATATGGAATCGCAACTGGGGTATTATTACTCACTTACCCGAAATGCAAACATGTGATCTCGATAGTCCTTCCCGAAAACAAACTCAGATCCTTTATCAGTGTGCTCCAGGAATTCTTCTATTCTTTCTCCGAGCCAACGGAAACCTTCAAACCCGAAACTGGTTCTGAGTATTAGTAGCGCAAAAAGGAACTGGGTGCCGATCCCCCAAAATACCGCATGCCAATTCACCTGAAATTAAAATTATTTTCCACGCATTAAGCCTCATTAGTACTCGTTGAGATTAAACTTGCAATCTTTGCACAGTACTTCACTCAGGTTGGATATTAAAAAGGAATATTGAAATGCCCCGCATATGATTATATTCGTTCAAAATTTCCCATTTTTGAAAGTCCATACTTATGTCAATCAAAGGGAAATTTTAATAACAATGCTGAAGTCCTCTGAATAAATGATGTAAGCGTTATAAAACATTTAGTAAATTATATTAAAAATTCCATCAGTCTCCGCTCATCACAATGATAAATATTTGGTTTTATTGGTTTTAATGGTACTTTGGCCTGAGGCCCTAATACTGAAATAAATAATTGATTAATATTAAAACAGAATAAATCTCGAAAAAAAAAGATTGGCCAGATTTCCGTTTTTTTCTTTGTGATTTATTATTCATCAGTATAAGAAAGAAATCTGGATATGTTTTTAAGTTAACTTTGTTCTTGCTTTATTATATACAGTTATGTAAGTCAGGATGCAGAACATGCTCTTTGGTTAACATCTGATTTGCTGTTGTCACTGTGCGCTAGGATGTACACTGTAGGATGGTGCGCTATATTATCGCGGTAGTTAATTTATAATGGATAGTAATGGCGAACGCTTGCAGACATATTAAATATGTCATACGCAAAATGTTCCTTGTTCTTTGTTCAACTTTTATGACATATCGATTAGGATTGATCGATGCTGATTTTCTTCACCGAGTTCGGTACACAAAGTACCTGTCATCAGCGTCTCAAGGGGGGGGGACTCTGTATTATCGCGGTATGGCTATTTTTAGGTATGATACATGTGGTTTGACACTTCCTGTTTTGGATTATGCATATTCAGTATGCATACGACCTGGGATTGGTCAAAGGACTTCGTCCAAAACAAATTGGTTCTTTTCAAATCAATTTCGAATGGAGGTAGGGGTAATTCCTTTTAAAACATTCCAGAAACTATCATAAAAAAGTCAACGTATGTACTTGCGAGTAGCCGTGACATACCGCAACATGTCCTGTATTCGATCAAGCGATAACAAATCGTGTTTTCATTTTAATAAGTAAACAGTCGAGAGGGGTTGTGGCTTACGAGATTTGCCGATACCGCCATAATATAGAGTCATACTATATATATAATTGAATTATACTACTCAGCGGTGTATAAATACACTTGACATAATATAAGAATCATGTTTTGTGTCTCATGGAAGGAATACAATATCCCTGTCAAAAATGGAGTAGTATATCTGAGTTAACCTGGCCGCAGTTGCCAGACATACTGTGACTTCCCACGGCCAACTGATGACGCGGCATTACATATGACGTACGGTCCCTGTAAAACACCAATTCCAGCATGACCTAATGCCCCATGTAAGCCCTTCTGTCCGTGCATCAGTTAGAAATATGGAATTGTGTTTTGCCAACAACTTTTGGGATGAGAGGTTTTCAGTTTGCTGATGGTGCTTGGTTTCAAATGGCAGCCATGTTGAAATGTCCCTTTGTCCCGTTCGCTCGTCACGCTGAAGACCCGGGTTCGATTCCCGACATGGGTACACTGTGTTAAGCCCATTTCTGGTGTCCCCCGCCGTGATATTGCAGGGATATGGCTAAAAGCGGCGTAAAACTATACTCACTCACTCACTCTTACGTGGGTTATTTTTATCCTATTTTCACTCCCTACCCTGTCTGGATGTTTGGATATGATGAATCCCAGGAGAATGAAGAAGACAAGTCCTGCCAGCGAGACAAAGTTCTCCGCCTGGGTCACATTCAATGCCAAGTAGATTGCCATGAAGAGAAGCATCCCTATATACAACAGCCTGCAAAACACGTGGTGGCGTGAGGAAATAAATGTTAGATAGTATTTTTGTTTTAAGTTTTAAGGGTGTTTTTCAGTATTCATGCAACAATTCTTTGTCGATCGGGGAGTGCAGAGTTAACGCAAAAACACGTGGTGGCATGAGAAAATAAATGTTAGATAGTATTTTTGTTTTAAGTTTTAAGGGTGTTTTTCAGTATTCATGCAACAATTCTTTGTCGATCGGGGAGTGCAGAGTTAACGCAAAAACACGAGGTGGCATGATGAAATAAATGTCAGATAGTATATGTGTTTTAAGATTTAAGGGTGTTTTTCAGTATTCATGCAACAATTCTTTGTCGATCGGGGAGTGCAGAGTTAACGCAAAAACACGTGGTGGCATGATGAAATAAATGTCAGATAGTATATGTGGTTTAAGTTTTAAGGGTGTTTTTCAGTATTCATTAAACAAATATTTGTCGATCGGGGAGTGCAGAATTAACGTTTCAAATAAGAAACAGCATCATCATCAATAATGACGTCTTAAAACATCACGTTGACAATAACCCTGCCTCGTAAAACAGCTACGACTCATATCATCAATTATGTCTGTTATGCTTCATCAATTTCGTGATTTGTCATTATTGCACGAATACGTACGTAGAATCGAACGATGCTTATGAACTCGCCTGAGCTCTCATCACCTGAAAATGTCTGTAACATATGAAAGAGACAGTGGTTGCCTGTTCTACACTTTAGCGAATCCAGGTTCGCCCCGATTATGTTTCTAGGTTTGTGGGTGGGTGAGTTGGGTTTAACGCCGCTTTTAACAGTATTCAAGTTATATCACGGCGTGTCAGCTTAATGTGGGAGGAAAGCCCCAAGTGATGCAGGTCTCAGACGTTTACCACTTCGGTGAAACCCACGAGCACGGGTATGGTGCTGACAAACCTAGAAACATAATCGGGGCGAACCGGTTTTCGAACCGACAATCATAGGTTTCTGGCGTGCCCTAGGGACGCAACTCTGCACAGCGAATCGCGGCGCCTTAGACGACTGGGCCACCGGTGCCCCCTTTCTAGGTTTGTCAGCACCATACCCATCCTCGTGGCTTTCACCGAAGTGGTAAACGTCTGAGACTTGTTTCACTTCAGATTTCCTCGCACATGAAGCTGACACGCCGTGATGTAACTGGAATACTGTTAAAAGCGGCGTTAAACCCAACTCACTCACTCCTATACCGTATGTATGCTCGCAGGTGTGCGTGGATCGTAGTTACATTGTAGTAGTAAATTGATGCAAACCAGTGATCATAGGATCCTGGTGTGCCACGGGGACGTAACTCATCAAAGCGTCTTAGACGCCTGGGCCACTGGAGCCCCTATTTAATCAGTTAATAGCAATAGCACCACAACATCACTACCAATACTTCTTTTGCTTTTATCCTCTATAAATTTGGGTGTTTTTAAAACCTTCCTTTAAAACAGTCATTTTGCCATAGAATCCTTACCATGTAATTATTCTCTTGATCGACGGGGACATCACAATCTTGCCGGACAATGGAGATAAAAGTTCAAGGACACGAGGTTTGAGCTTGACCTTGGCATAAATCAGGGCAGCAAAAACGGTACCAAACAGAAGTCTCAGAGAACCTTCATCCCCGAAAGAAAACCTGATACTGAAGCCGACATATACGCTGAAGGCAGCCAATAAGATCAGAGAGCTTATAACTGCAAGGGGATTCTTGTTGCGAATTATCTCCTTGCAAAGAGAAGCTCTGGCCCACCCAAACGCTGCTCCGCATTGTAGATAATATTCTTTATATTCTGATCCTTCGGAAGGAGTGTCCGATAGGGTTATATCTATATCTTCTTCCTCATTGTCGAAAATTGCTTTTGGGCAAGCTATTTCTGGACACAGTGTCTTCTGAAAAATACATCATCGTTACCATCATCATCGTTAAGATTATTATTATGTACAGATTGAAATAAAAAGATGCAGCAAAGAGGGTTTGGGTGATCCTGGCAGTCAAGCTGGTTAGGCTCATCATCAGCTCAGGGCCCTTGCCCCCTCTACACGCAGCCCAGACAGAGAATGGGACTTCTCCCAGGAAGCGCTGCCAAGGCAAACCCACCCAGACCTTTTCGGAGAATGTGAAGACTCCCCAACACTGCAGCCTTCTGCATTGCCCGGATTGTCAGAAGGGCTATATTCCTGGTAGCAAACCCGGGTACTCTCCCGATGTCAGTCAACAGATAGGGAGGTACCAAACCTAAGGCACCGAGAAAAATGGGGGTCGGTCAACTTGGTACTTGGGATGCAAGCGGGACATTTCGAAAGCGAGGTCTGCACATTTGCCATGTTTTCCCTGAATCTTAATCACACTGGTGTCAAAAGGGACAGAAAATTCAATAGTATAAGTGATTTCTTTGGGAAGGACAAGATCAGGTTTGTTTGCCTGTATACGCCTGAAAATGTATACGGGCCTATTCGAAAGAATTTTGTATTTATCATTTTCTATGACGCCCTCTTCATATTCTGGGTCGTACCCTGGATGGACCTCTTTGTCAAAACCAATATCATTAGTAGTAGTAGTAGTAGTAGTAGTAGTAGTAGTAGTAGTAGTAGTAGTAGTAGTCACTGATAACCAGAAACAGTCATTAATTGTGTCATGAATTACTCCCTTGATTAAAAGAGAGTAATCAATTGATATCAATAAATACCCAGACTGTAATTGTGTGCAGTAATTCACAATACAGTAATGATTAAAAGCAACTTACATCAGGACTTTCTCGTTTGACGAGGGCGAATGTCTCTACAAGCTGTTGTCCAGCCATGATGCCAGACAGTACAAATGCCACGCTACATACGCGGCGGGGCTGTTATATATATCCGTGCATGATTACAAATAAACGTGTGAAACCTTGACTGCAGACTATATCAACCGGCATGTGTTCTAAAACATATAATATAACCCAAAGTTTTGTTTTAATAACCAATCTAAAACAGCTGGATAGAAAAGAAGGACGTTGCAGACTGATATCAGCATATGTATGACGGTAGATGCGTGTTCTGGTGATGTTGTTCAATTGCGAGTTATCAGTGGCAATCTTTAATATGTGTTCCATTGTACTTGAGTTTAATGAGTAGGTGTTAGATCGAAATGTGTATGATCACTTGTGTTGTGTACCTTTTTGAAACTGAAACTCAATAAAAATTGTTTCATTCGCTAATCACAAACGTGTTCAGTTAGTTGCAGACGGGTCCTCGGTTGGTCTGTGGTGGCCAAAGTCATTCAGAAATATGACTTAAATGTTGCAATCCGCTGTGTTCAAGGGTCCAAATATTAAATTCGTTCCGATTATGACCCTTCAACTGTCATCATCATAGACACACCATGATAAGACTGAAATTTTGTTCAAAGTGGCGGTTCACCCAACTACACTCTTGAGAGAGATACGACTGTAACAACACTGAAGGTAGGAAGTTGTTTGATTCAAGGCCTCAGTAAAGCTTTCAAAAGGTTTTATGGTAGACATGTGGTAGACAATTTCCAAATTTGACACATCTGTGACAAAAATGATGTCCGATGCAATGCCCTATTTTGACTTGCACCATAGTTTTTTTAAGGTGATTAATTGACTTGCCTTGGCATGTGTTTGTGACGGGTGCCACCGGTGGGGCAGGATACGCTCATCTTTTCGCGAACACCTGGTATCATTACTATTTGATAGTGATTCATAAACACATGTTCATGATATAGTCGGAATCGTACAATCGACTCTGCTTTATGCAGAGATTTCTATTGGAAATGGAAAATGTTTGTCGCTTTATTTGCATATATCACGTGCGATGCAAACTAAAACGACAGAAGGAAAGTAACAACACAAACCACATTACGTCATTGGGATAAAAACGTAATATAAAAATTAAATGAAAGGAAAATAAATTAGCTAAATGTGTTGACAGCTTTCAGTTGTTCCCATGTAGGGTTTACAGTTAATTTCCTTAACAGTGACTCGACACTATGAATTTCGAATTTCTGTCCCTTGTGAAAAGGTTTGGGATATTAATACCATGTGGATACTCAAGAGCTGCAAGGATTGTTTCATTGTTTTCCAATCTCAGAAAAGAATCAACTTCATATCTACCTTCAGAGGTTCAAGACATGTGTCAAAAATGAAAGTAAATATTATCTGAGGTTTTATACTGAGAAAACAAAATGTGAAATGCAGGGCTTCCTTTTTGATAATATATATTAACAATTTGCAAATAAAACATTTATGTAAGACGTAGGCATCCCAATGAGCAGCAATTGTGCATTCTGTATGCATATGAATCAGGATTACTGCTCGGATTGGATAAATCGAAATTTGGTCAAGTTGTTTACTTGAGGTTCAGGTATATCGCCAATTCCCTTCCACTGATTTACCTGCCGCCTCAAGTGTACTCATGTGGAGGATATTTCCACATTGAACGCATCAGTGACAAAAATGATTTCCGATACAATTCCCTTTTTAGACTTGTACCATATGTTGTTGTATTTGGGTTTTTTTTAATATTTTTTTATTCTATTCTGTATATGGGGGCGGTCGGGTAGCCTAGTGGTTAAAGCGTCCGCTCGTCACGCCGAAGACCCGGGTTCGATTCCCGACATGGGTACAATGTGTGAAGCCCATTTCTGGTGTCCCCCGCCGTGATATTGCTGGAATATTGCTAAAAGCGGCGTAAAACCATACTCACTCACTCACTATTCTGTATATGACGGGGCGGTCGGGTAGCCTAGTGGTTAAAGCGTTTGCTCGTCACGCCGAAGACCCGGGTTCGATTCCCGACATGGGTACAATGTGTGAAGCCCATTTCTGGTGTCCCCCGCCGTGATATTGCTGGAATATTGCTAAAAGCGGCGTAAAACCATACTCACTCACTCACTGTATATGACATTACAGAGTTATACATGGAGTAGCACGTCTTGTAGCATACTTGTTAGGTATAGGTTACCTATACAGCAGACAGCAGGTCAGCAAGTTTAAGTTCGCTACAGGTGTCCATCAAAGTTTACACATGGTGAAAACGGGCAAATATTTGCCATATTTCTTTAGTTAAATATGACTTGTACCAAATGTTCCCGGTGAACAATTGACTTGCCTTTGCATGTGTTTCTGACTTTACAACCAGAGGGACAGTTTACGGCCACCTTTTCGTAAACACCTGGTATCATCAGTATTTGGTAGTGATTCAGAACATCTGTTCATGATATAGTCGGAATCCTGCAATGGGCTCTTGTTTTAAGAGAGCTTATTGAGAATATTGAAACTTGAGATTTTTGTTAGTTTTGCCATTCCTTCCCGCACTACAGATAATCTGTGACGGGAATGCTGCTTACCTATGTCAAATATTGAACCCAGCAATTCGGTTTGATGCCAACAACATAACATCCGGCTAGCCCTTCACTCTTGCCACGATGCAGTCGCGTTTAAATGTAAGATTTGAGTGATATGATCCCACGTTTCTCTTTGTTAAAAACTCTGTTTCATTTTCATTACATTCATATGACATATTAAAAGTTCCACGGACCAAACAAAACATATTATGAGTATTGATATTGATATAAAGTATTGCTAAAGGGACACTGTGTACGTTTTACAATCAAGGTATAAATGACATTTTGTAGCGAAATATGAATCTGACGAACAACGCTCTGAAACAATTTTGGTGTATGATGTGAAAAGAAGTGAAACGTTTATTAACATATGTTTAAATAGTTTTTGACTGGCGAGAATACCGTAACCGCAAACAAATATTCAACTGATGTTACACGTGTCGTCCATACAATTAGCAGATGAAAAACAAATAAACACACATAATAACCACAGAGAAATAAGAAACACGTAAACCGAAACCCAGAGATAGAATCCCAAAAGTCTTTGAATGTGCTGAACCTTAAAAAATAATAAAACAAAATCTGTCCAAAACAAATTCAAATTATCCTGAGCTCCTTTTTCAGGTTAGTATCAGACGCTGTTGGTTTGTGACATGGCTAGTTATCCTAGCAGGTAAAGTGGCACGGTGGCACGGATGGCCAAGTCGTCTAAGGCGACACAATTCCAAAATTGCGTCCGTCACGCCAGAAATCTGTGGTTCGAATCCCGGTTCGCCCCGATTATGTTTCACCAAAGTTGGCCAACGTCTGCGACCTCCATCACTTTCGGCTTTCCTCCAACATTAAGCTGACACGCCTTGATATAACTGGAATACTGTTAAAAGCGGCGTTAAACCCAGCTCACTCACCTATTATATACATGCTTATCATCTAGTCGGTACAATGGCCTCATTTATTTATTTGCAACCTCATGGTCTTTTAGATAAACGACCAATGTGATCCAAATACGACATCATGTAAATTTATGGTTAACGTTTTACGTCAAGTGAGATATATAGACCGCTATCAACACTTGAATAATTAGCGTTCCGTGCCATGGGAATCACATCTGCTGAAATGTATCAATAAAATGTGATTCCGGGTAATTAATTTTGTTCAACTTCACTGTAATACCAAAGCTTCCTATTACTTTAAGGGGCGGTCGGGTAGCCTCGTGGTTAAAGCGTTTGCTCGTCACGCCGAAGACCCGGGTTCGATTCCCGACATGGGTACAATGTGTGAAGCCAATTTCTGGTGTCCCCCGCCGTGATATTGCTGGAATATTGCTAAACGCGGCGTAAAACCATACTCACTCACTCCTATTACTTTAAACGGTTAATTGTATTCCAAATACACTGTACGGTTAATTAAATGAGATTATGTGAAGATAAATTATCATTGCTTGATATAAAATCCAGTAATCTCATTGGCCACTCGCCATTCTTGTGAAAACGGTCGGTTGGGCGGCACATGCAGACACCATGACGCGATAGTGTTCCATGTGACGTCACAATAGCCCCCGTTCGCATGTGGATGCTTCTAGCCTTATCAAACTGAAAGGAAATGCTATCAATAGTTCTAGCATAGATTAAGGCGAGGCCAAAGGCGCCGTTAATGAGTTATCAGGCAAAAGACTGCGTCGTACATTGGTACATGAACCACACTCTGTGTAAGAGCTATCTCAACGATGCACAAATTACTGCGTCCGGTTTATGGGTTGTCTGATGGTTCTATTTGAGGGAAACACATTGACTTTCACTCTAAATTAAATTATGTGAGCTTTGAGACTAACAATCGTTTTTACTGCGATCAAAGCTTCTTGATGTCTAAAAGAAAATGTAATGATTAAAATGTTTGCGCTTTGGCGTGAATTCTGGTTCCTTTATGTTTGGTTTGTGTTACGTGATTTTTGTTCGGTTTGTTGTTCAACGCCGCACTCAGCAATATTCCAGCTATATGACGGCGGTCTGTAAATAATCGAGTCTGCACCAGACAATCCACTAATTGAAAAAACGAGCATCGATCCACGGAATTGGGATATGATGTCATGCATCAACCAAGTCAGCGAGCCTGACCACCCGATCCCGTTAGTCGCCTTTTACGACAAGCACAGTCGCCTTTTTGTGTTAGGTGACACATGCCGCAATGAGTGGTGGTATTAGTATACTCTTTAATTCAACTTCTCGCCTGGTTAAATAGAAATACAGCCATAATGGACAGTGAATAATAGTATTTGTTTGTGTGTTAGTTTATTGTTTTACGTCAAACTCAGCAATATTCCAGCCATATAAGGGTGGTCTGTAAATAGTTGAGTGTAAACCGGACAATCCAGTGATTGACATTTACGCAACTGGGATACGGTGACATGCATCAACCAAGTCAGCGAGCCTGATCCTGTTTAAATAAAAGTCGCCTGTTACCACAGGCATGGGTTCTTGAAGACCAATTCTAACACGGATCTTCACAGGAGAAACGACCTGTTACATTCCCAAAACCTACTTAGCGACCCGTCTGTCCTCCACGCTATTGAACTACACGTATTGGGGACCTTTCTATGATCTAACAGGCGCCAGATGAAGCCTAGACATAATTAATGTCTCATTTTTTATCATGCTTGCAGTCACCACACCAATAGCATACGTTTTCAGAGTGTGACTATGTATGAAATATGTATGCACAAATGAAATAAAAAGACAGACGATATGATTATTTTTATTCGAGTCAAGAAATTACACGATTAATCATCCATTTGGGTTTCCCCTCAGAAATCCAGTTCAGGATCTATCAAGATGTAAGTCAACGTACATCATTATTACATCAGACTGGAACAATGCCTGCTGAGGATACCTCACATATCCATTAGCACTGTCCTGTGTAATACTCAAGGTTTTGGATTTGGGTGATTTCAGACACAAGGTTCCCAGGTGCATGCACAAATTCTTCCATTGCATCAATGCCAGAAGAGTTAACTGGGGCAAAGTACATGAGCTGAATTGAAAAAAAATGTCAATAGTTATTTTTCAACAAAAATATTTAACTTTAAGTATTTATTATTATATTCCGGTATTGAAGTCTGACATCCGTACAAGGTATGAAACAATCATAACGGCATATCGTCAAGTCTGCCCATATTCAGAACTGAATGCTAACTTTTGTTGTGTAAGGCTATTATAACAGTTGTATTTATGAAGTAAAAGCTGTGTACATTGAAGTGATACAATAGCTACGTATATAGAACATAATACAGTAACGCAAGGAATGGTGAAACGAGGTTTACCTGAACAGGGAAGTCTGCGAGAGTTCTGAAACACGCGCCCTTCTGACCGGATTTGAGTATGTCCATATCCCTCTCGAATTTCCACTTCATCTGATTGTTGTACTCAAGTGTTGACAAATCTGAAAAGTTGATGCTGATTAATACAAAACAGACGAGTTGATGGTTCAATGATCTGGTACAAATAAAAACCATATTTTATTTGAGGGGATCGTGGATGGAGCAAGCATGCAGTGGAGACCCCAAAGCGTCACCAGGTAACAGGTGTCATGATCATATGCATTTTCACGTAATGTTCCTTCAGTTTTATTGACTCTTTGGCCTCCGTTGAGGGGTGTACAGGGACAAGTTCTTCCCGTGAAGATCCGGGTTATAATTGGTCTTTAGCAACCAATGCTTGTCGTAAAAGGGGGCCATCGTAAGAGGCGACTAACGCGATCGCGTGGTCAGACTTGGTTGATGCATGTCATCGTATCCCAATTGGTTGGATCGATGTTCATGGTGTCAATCGCTGGATTGTTTGTTCTAGACTCGATTATTTACAGATCGCCGTCATATAGCTAAAATATTGCTATATTCGGCTTTAAACAACAAACAAACAAAACATCCTTTATAGATAAAGACAGGCACACCTTTTACAGGAAATGTGTTCACGTCAATGATAAGTTCCTCGTCCCCGAAAGATGTTGCCCACATGTCCTTGGGGATGTTGACGCCAAGCTCCTGAGCGTAGTCACTGCAGTGGTAGAGTGCCTCCACACTGAACACATATCCCTGGCTTGATAGATAGCCTGTCAACTGGGGCCAACTGCAGGCTTTCTCAACGTCAAGAACTGAAATTTGTATGCGCGTTAATGTATTAAGGCCGCATCGGCATAAACTGCTTGCGGAAACTCCTTGACGTGTCAGGTGTATCTACACGTTCATTGTACATCATCTTTAGGTTTTGAATGACAGAAACAACCACCACCACTCCTCAAACCAGGCACAAAAGCTAAGACTTGCTGGTATTGAAGTTGATATCCTTGGCTCAACTATTCAATGTTGAGTACATGTTCATTATTGCATCTGAATTCTCTCTACTGGTCAGGACTTGCTGGTTGAGCAAAAAAGACCTATAACACTGTATTAGCATCGAGCCCTTATTTATAATTGAATCATTAAAAGTAATGTACGAGAACACGTGATCGCCTTTCATAGCACATCATCCAACAATAAAAATGCACTGATGTCCTTGACTTTTAGGCCTCTCAAAAACCTTTTGAAAAAAGGCTAATATATACGTGTGATATATGAAATTAACATTTTCTATTAAACTTTTTAAGACCAATTATGAATTGCTGAATTATGAAGTTTGTTAGGTCCCATTAAGCATCAATATCATTTTACCAAAGTAAGCGTCATAAATGACCCCATGTGCCGTTAACGAGCTACAGGCAACAAAGTGTTTATTAACTGACTTACCAAGAACTATCTTTGGGTTTCCGAGCTCCTGTTAAACCAATAACAAGTAATTAGTAGGTCTGATCTTGAACAAATCATGAAGATTATGTATTGCGTATTAAAACATGGAAGGCCATAGGATAACATCCTCATGAAATAGTGTTTGTAATCAGAACGAAATGTGTAAATAAAAGCTACAACATCCTAAGAAAATCATACGAAATCTACACTAATATACACAGCAAGGACCCTCCTCTTCATATCAGAATTATGTTTAATGTAAATGTCAGCATATAAATAGTATACTCATATTGTCAAGAAGTCCTGGTTCTGTACTTCAGCAATGCATAAATACATTGTCATAACGTCGAAGTATTCTTTTCAAATTGTATAAATGTATCATGAAGGAGCAACTAGTTAACCATTTTGCAAACCTTAAAGGAAAATAGAACATCGACATCAGTTAGACCTTTCACTGTCTCCTTAATCGACAGTATATCCGCTGTCTCGTCCCTCCCCTCCACAGGGGGCAAGGAGATGTCCACCCTGTATAGAAGAGCGTCTTTATCGCCCTTAGTGCCGAGAACTGACAAGGTGATGAGACCAAAGACGAACAAGAGCATCGTGGTAAAGTCGGTTCTTCCCAGCGAGTAACAGAGGATTCTGATTCCTGATTCTGAAATTAGGCACTGGCAAGTGGAATATGTGCTTTCAGCTATCAGAGAAAAAAATGCATGGACTTCCCAGACTGTTTACAGTGCGTAATTGCATTATACAACACAGCAACTACTGCCAACTGTAATCATTTTAGGTACGCTCGTTACAAAGTGGCATGGCTTAGAAATGGTTAAACCGCATAAAAAGGGTTTTGAAATCGATACAATTTTCTTGTTTGGTATTTCATAAAATCTACATGGAGTCAATAACACAAAGTTATCAGTCAAAAATAACTTAATTTGCAAACCGATAACAAAGGCTGGTCGTCTGAAGGATGCAACGTCTGAAACTCAAGTGGAGGCTCACCACCGCATGGTCATAAAACTGGCCGACGTGTGACAATTCAGTATATCTCTTACACTAGTGCCATCAGTTTTGGATCAGTACAGTCCAGACTTTAATAACAGTCACTGCTTTAATTTAAAATAAATCAAGTATTTATTAAAACATACATCTTGTTATTCAGTTGGATGTGTTCCTTTATCTACAAAAGTCAGCTGCTGTGACGCTGCGTTTAACACTATGTCCTTTCTTGAATAAGCATGTGGTACCTTTGAATGGCTGCTAAAATTTTCCTGCTTCAGTATATAGCAGACAACAACTTAGTTTGAAATAAGATACATTTGAATGTTTTCACTTTGTTTAACATCCTAAAATACACTGAGCTGTGTCTGGTTTCAGTCTCATGAAAATCAGATATTTTACTCCATTAGTTTCCTCTCTTCATTGAGACATTAGAACATGTCCACAGGGGGTCGCATCTGGTGACGAGCATATCTGATTTTTGCTTTCCGAAAATGAATGTAAGCGAGGAGTTCAGACTGTAGAATTTTTTTCATAACACCCAGACGCTACATCAGTCCAAACAACATACTTTTAAACATCGATAATACGTTGCATCCTTTTATGATTATGCCATAAAAAATATTAAACCAGTCAGAAGAAAAATCGTCACAAAGCAAAAAAACATGATAACAAAACCCAGGCTATCAATGCTATCATTTCAGTTAATTATTACCTTAGCATCTTATCAATTAATAATCAGTAAAGTTCAGAGGTTGTTTTCACAAACATGAAAAATAAAGTGTCGCCGATTTAGTTATTATTTATCATACATATTTCAATATTAAAATACAATTACTTTTAATGACAATAGTGATTACCTTATCCTGCGTGGCTGTGTCGCAAGAGGTTGGCCGATGGTCTGAAGGCGCCGTGCTTATATACTCAATTCCTTCATGTAAATGTGTAATTTAATATACGTTAAGATCAAGGTCCAGTGAGGCGGACAATGGTGGATAATGGAATGTTTAGCTTACCTTGACAGGGATCCGGAGAAACATGTTTCCAAGCCCTCGAGTCAATAGTGTAGGTCATTGCACCAATAAAGCTGTATGACATCATCGCAACGTGTGAAGTGATTTCAAGTGTATCTAGGGAAACAAAAACAAAAACTAAAACAATTTAAAAGAGGACCCGTTTCATATATACAAAGTACTTTTGTAAATATTTGTGATAACACTCGATCTATCTATGCCTCTGTAGAACTGTCATTACCGGAGTGATATGACACATACTTCTTACACGTAGGTAGGAAAAATTGTTGCTCTTTTATGTAACGATTCGAACTGAACAGGTTTTGATCCTATTTATATGAACGTTTTGCTATTATTTAATCTTTTTTATGTTGGTACTTTATTTGTTTGTTCATATGACACATCAATGGAGTTTTGGGTCCTAATTCCAGTAAATGTCACCTTAAATGAATCAAATAATGCCAGTAGGGGAGTGTTGTATTGTTCCCTGTTTCACTGTATATTGTAAAACATGCGAGTCATGCAGTTGTTAATTTCTGTGATCTGTGTTGATCGAAAGACGCAGCCATAACTTGGCACTCTAAAGGATGAGGTAAGAAAAACACTTTACACTCATAAGAGGATCGGTGCGATCACATGTTGCAAACCATACCAGGAGAGCTAGAGTGCAGACATATCAGGTGTAAATATACAATGTCAGTGTCAATGTCTCGATTGTCCGCCATTCAATTAGGCATAAAAGTCAACCAGCCGATAAAAATTCGTGATACGTGAACTATCTGTGCTACCTACCGCATGAAACTTGGGTAACAGATGGGTCTTGAAATGTATGTCTTCTGCATTGTTAACTGTTCATAAAAGTGTCAGTTCTTCAAGGGTTGTTTTTTCCTTTATTTCATTAGGTCTGTATTTGTTGATGTTCATTTTCTTAAGTTTGTTGTTTGTTTATTATTACAGTTACAGAATTCTAAAACGGAAAAATTTATACAAATAAAATCGGCAAAACTAACCACATTCATAAGACATCTCTTCTGAAAGCAAAGTCCTTTGAACAATTCAGACTGAATCATCAGCATGTGTTTATGAATCACTGCCAGATAGTGACGATACCAAGTCATTTGGTCACCTGAAACAAATACGGGGACATACGGTACAAGTCAAATGCCCTCCACCATAAAAAACATAAAAACTGTTTTGAAAGCTTCGCTGAGGTCTTGAATGTTGTAATCTTGATTAAACACCTTTTCAGCAAGAATCGTATGAAACCTTCGAAGAAAGCGTGTGCTCGATTGTACCTAAAATGACGGGAAACGTAGACACCAAAGGCTGGAGCTGCTGAATTATTGCTCGACATGAAGAGAAAGTTGACTATTGGAAAGTTGAAGTCATCCCTTGCCATACAGTCATGTGTATTTTTTTCACATTTATGTTGTATGCATAGATCGAAAAATTAAACAGTGGATGCGGTTTCTCGGGTCTCTTTCTGGTTCAGGCGTGTAAATCATTAGAAGGGAGTTGGCTATTTGGCCGTTATTGAACGATATCCATATACCAGTAGCCAGTGTTCTTAATCATCAATGGGTACAATGAGTGAAGCCAAATATCTGGTGTCCCCCGCCGTGATATTGCTTAAAGCGGCGTCAAACCATACTCACTCACTCACTCTTAATCATCAAGGAGGGATCACAATTTGTGTTTATTGGGATACCTGTCTTGCCTCTATGTCTTTTTCCCATGTATCTATGAAGTTAGATCACAATGGTCCTGATGAACATGAGAATATATCAATGACCACCACGTTTAGTGACAAATGCCTCATGGATCAGATAGTTCATCTTTTCATCAGGTTTGTCGTGTTGATAGTGGTGTACAGTGTGGAAAATTCAAATGTTTTGACAGAATGAAACTTCATCCTTTTACATTGCAGAAAATCATTTTATATTTTTTGGAATTTACATGGTATTTATTCCACTTGTCTTAAACTGTCGAGGTGAATATAATGAACACTCTTCCTTGATTGTATCTAGGATTGTGGTTAATCTTTTAGGGAGGTTTTTGGTGGTGCATTTGATGGAACCCTGCAATACATCTTTCTTTGAATGGAAATGTATGGAGCTTAGGAATGCTGTGCAAATGTCTTCATGGTTATCTTTAAACGGTTTTACTTCATTAGACATACACACATTCACTTTCCATATATTGAGATGAAGTTCCCGATACTGACTGAGTTCTTGGATACTGGTTTGGCTTTACTGAAGGCGAAACGAAACATTCCTTTGTGTATCATTTTCCAACTCATTGTACCTTGATCATTATTTACATTACATTCTTCTTTGTGGAATGGAGATAAACATTAACATCTCTTTGATGAAGAAATGTGCATTTTGTTCAATTTTCTATTTCCCGCTGTCGAATTAAACAGTTTCGTAGCTATAACAATATGTTTCTCCTGAATATTTGTGCATATGTTGAGTTCTAATCGTTGAGCTCGTCACGCCGAAGACCCGGGTTCGATTCCCGACATGGGTACAATGTGTGAAGCCCATTTCTGGTGTCCCCCGCCGTGATATTGCTGGAATATTGCTAAAAGCGGCGTAAAACCTCACTCACTTACTCTAATCGTTGAGTAAAGAGTAATCAATGTGCATGATCGAGCGTTAGACGTGTGGAAGGAGCTGACAGATGTGTTTGTAAATGTGTGTAACTTGTGTTACTCGCGGTCTGTTGGGAGCTAAGACTACTTATGCGAATGACACAAATCGCTCGATCGTAGTAGAGAAAATTTGAGTCTGTATTACTGCTGAAACAAGATATACAAAATCCATTATGATGGACATTTCACATGAATGAGGCCATGGCTATTCAATGAAGCAGTTATATAATATATGTAATGCTGAAGTAGGGACATGGTGGACAGTTGGTGTTGGCGGCCGCATTTTGCTAAGTAAAGCTAGGTTCCGATGATCCCGACTTTGAATGCAAATTCGCGCTGATATGTTTTGTGTTTCAGCTAGATGTCTGTGCTGATATGTTTTGTGTTTCAGCTAGATGTCTGTGCTGATATGTTTTGTGTTTCAGCTAGATGTCTGTGCTGATATGTTTTGTGTTTCAGCTAGATGTCTGTGCTGATATGTTTTGTGTTTCAGCTAGATGTCTGTGCTGATATGTTTTGTGTTTCAGCTTCATGGCTGTGCTGATATGCTTTGTGTTTCAGCTAGATGTCTGTGCTGATATGTTTTGTGTTTCAGCTAGATGTCTGTGCTGATATGTTTTGTGTTTCAGCTTCATGTCTGTGCTGATATGTTTTGTGTTTCAGCTTCATGTCTGTGCTGATATGTTTTGTGTTTCAGCTTCATGTCTGTGCTGATATGTTTTGTGTTTCAGCTAGATGTCTGTGCGGATATGTTTTGTGTTTCAGCTAGATGTCTGTGCTGATATGTTTTGTGTTTCAGCTAGATGTCTGTGCTGATATGTTTTATGTTTCAGCTAGATGTCTGTGCTGATATGTTTTGTGTTTCAGCTAGATGTCTGTGCTGATATGTTTTATGTTTCAGCTAGATGTCTGTGCTGATATGTTTTGTGTTTCAGCTAGATGTTTGTGCTTTTAGGATTTGTCAAAGTGATAAAAGTCTGGAACTGCATCACTTCTATTTCCGCATTAAGTTTAAACGCATTGATTGAAATTATTTAAAATTGCGCTTGATTTTGGTCTTCGTCACGACGAGTCAACCCTAACACCACTGGGCTAAACACCATGGATGATTATTTTAATTGTCCCTGTTTGACAATTAAAGTTAACTGTGCAGTTTTCTTCAGACGAAAGTTGTTCTCTAACATGATTGTAAATTAGTCTCCGTACTTTGTTGGTTTTGACACATACCTTAGGCGTCTTAGATTCTGCAAATGTAACACAAAGCACTTTGCAGTTATGCCCACAGCTCCTCCCGAAGGATAGGCCCCCGACAACAGTCCACCAGAGCCCTCGGGCCTGGGCTGCCCTCTCTAGTTGTTTCTTGCTGTCCAAGGCGAATGGCTTTTGTTTTGGTTGCTGACGATGATTTTTCAACGTATATTATGAAACCATGCTTCTCACATCGCATAGATTAAGATTTACAATTTTCGTAAAAGTGTTTGGTTTTCTTCGCAAAGTTCACATTACAACTAAAGTAAGGCAACTATGCTTGCCGTAAAAGACGACTAACGGGATCGGGTGGTCAGGCTCGCTGACTTGGTTGATGCACGTCATCGTATCCCAATTGCGTGGATCGATGCTCATGATATCAATCATTGGTTTGTCTGGTCCAGACACGATTATTTACAGACCGCCGTCATATAGCTGGTCTATTGCTGAGTGCGGCGTAAAACAACAAACAAACAAACCTGGTATCATCACTATCGTGATGTATTCGGAATCGTACAGTCGACTCTGCTGTCAATGATTTCTTATGAATATGGAAATGTTATTGTCAATTTTATTTAAGGGTAAACATAAGTGTTTTTTGGAGCACCTGATAGCTGAAGTCATTGTGTTCTGTTCACATTATAAAACTACGTGTGTGAGTATAATGCTCCCAACAAACACGCAAACATTCAAATTGTGCACCGTTCATAACTGTGGAAAATGTCTTCATGAATATGTATTGAAAGAAGCATTATTAAATTTTAGAATAGTTTTACTGATTGTAACCATCAACTTTTGTAGGTCATGAACCACTGTCAAAGTCAATTTTATGATGGCCCTGTACCTTAATTTGTATACTTTGGTACAACAAACTTTAATCATCAAACGTACGATTCTTCTGCTTATCTGCTCCACAAAAGGTTGGGTCTTCATGGTCGGTTTCCGGCAGCTATGGGACATAAACCAGACGTTTGT